GTTTCAAACGATACATATATGCAGATGACACAGTTAACTATATGAATACAATAGGTGAATGCCAAAAGATGTCACTTAACATTACAAATACAAAACTACCATTTAGCATTTCACCATCTTCATACACAAGACTACATGTAAGAGTCAGAGGTTTTTAAAAATGAGACATTAATGGAGCATCCTAGATGTCTATTTTTTTTTATTTAGATTTAATAATCTTTCTTCTTTTTAGCTTAACGACAGTTTTATTGCTCTGTTGTTGTGTGTCCTATTAACTTAAACAAAAGACTTTGTCTGAAGTAGTTCTAACTGCTATTGCAGTGCTATTCGTGCCAGTGGTTTTTAAGCCTTAATATGACTTTTCAGAGCAGATATTTTGACCTGTCAGAGCAAGAAAAGCACAGGTGTTACTAATAACTGCTTTACTCAAGTGTCCCAGTAAACCCTGACAGTGTGACGGCGATCCAGCATACACAACGCCACAAACTGAAGCAGCTAAATGGAATTCAGCCATCATTCATCATTATTTATTCATGTGGTTTTTCTATTTTGACATGTCAAAATTTCTTCTGGTCTGTTGCAAATGTCTCTTTTGTTTTCATTTTGTGAAATAAAACTGAATTGGTGTTCATTTGGCTTATGAGCGGACCGTGACTTAATGACTAAGGAGAAATGTGAAACTTGAATCTGCACCAGTTGGAAAACCACTGCTATAAACCATCCAGTACAAGCCATGTCTCAAATATGTGTCTATCTGAAATACATACAGGACGTGCCAGGGGACCTGCTGTATGTCAGCCTTCAACAGACCCCAGGTTAATAAAATACGCTTATCTGTGAAACATGAGATACCACAGATGATATTACTGTTCAAAAACCTCTGAATTATGAAACTTCCAGAGTGTATTACTATGTCAACATTTCACCATCAGGAAATTCAGGGGGCTCTTTGATTAGATAATGTATATATAAATCACACACACACACAAACAAAGCTCACTTTGCCCCCTTTTGCCCTCATAGTCGTTTCATATAAATCAATACAGCTCTGAACAGTCACTGGTTTTGCTCTTGGCATGCCTGTCAAATAGATTAGACCTCTCTGACTTATATTCACAGAGACATGTAGCTCTGCAGCTGGTAATATGGTCTCTGGAACAGAGTAAGAAATCAGACCCTTATAAAGAGTGTGGATTGATCCAGTCGTCAATTTTTAAACCACAGGAGTAAGTTGATGGTGCGATTCGAGCTCTGTATGGGGTCTGATGTGGCTTTGCTTGAGCTGTGAACGAGTATGAGGACTGAGAATGGGTCTGTGCATGTGTTGATAAATGCTGAATTCAAAATACAGCAGCGCTGTTTGACTTTATTTTATGCACAATTTTAAAATTTTGCACAGCTGAGTGTCATTTGCAAGTGTAAAGTAAACCATCTGCAGCATATCGACCACCCATAAACCTGCTCAGTTTGGCTCGAGCTCTCTGCTGATCCTTTTTAATTACCTCACTTTGCCTCTTAAAGCAAAAACATTCCAGTTTTCAATCTGTAATGTAGATGTAGATTCTTCCCAACACCCCCGTGTGCCCTCTGCAGTATGCAGGTCAGGCGTACATCTCCACCCATTGCTGCTGAGTGAGCACTGGGGGGTAGGAGTGGAGAGAGAGACCGCACAGATCATAATGGCTGGCCAATTATCAGTAGTAAGGGGTGGGGTGGGGAGACTGGTGAGTCGGGAGGAGTGAGAGATTATGGGGAGAATGGATCAATACACCAGTCAGTTTCTAATGAGGGAAAGAATTGGTCCAAGTCAAGCAGATGGAAATCCTGCTCTGCCCGGGGTGGTCTTCCTGCACTATCTGTCAGCAGGCTATCAGGTTTTGGTGCGGCTTTGTACAATAGCACCCCAACAGGGGCATGACTGCTATCACTCTGGATCGGTGATATTCAAGTATTTACAATATTTACAGCGTTTTTTTGGGGGGGTGGGTTTTTTGTTGTTGATGTTTTGCGTTCATAGTGTCTCTCACATGCTATCCTGATCTACCCACATTCCACTTTCTCTAAATATTTCATACATCACTAGGGGCAGATTTAGAAGAGCCTGAAGAATAATGGCTGTCTGTCCTTCACCACCCCCCTTTTAACCACCCACAGCTGCCAGCACAGGACAGTAAATCCTACGCCTCACCCACTCGCCCAGCCCAGCAGCTCAGCTGTGTGCTACTATGCACTAGCACAACATGCACTCCTCTACTAAAATGCTAGGAAGGGGGCTTAAACGGCTAAATGCTGAACGGCTAATAGTCTCTGCTTTTCTCTAAAATGGTGGAATAAGCACCAACCGACTGTTCAGCACCAACATTACATTTGGTACTGGTTGTTGTTCTCTGGTTGCTCCACTATTTTCTACATCTGCCTTTCTTCCTTTTTTCTGAGGGGCCTTGTGTGGGGTGGGGGTGTTATTTATGGCTGCTCTGTGCAAGTGGACACAGACACAGACACACACACACACACACACACACACACACACACACACACACACACACACCCTTTCACAGGATGAAAGGGCAGTCACACTGCCTGCAAACATGATTTTACAGCCCTGGGTGGAATGAGTGGTGGAGGAGACAATGAGGACAGGGTACAAAAGGGGAAAGCCCTTAAATTTACAGGTCCTAGCAGTCAGAATGCAAACCATGCAGCAGCAGCACACATTTTTAAAGATGAATTTTTATTTTATTTTTTTTTAAACCAAATACAGAGCTCCTCAGAAATAAGACAAGTGTCTTTATGCTGGGAAACACATATGCTAGAACGTGTGAGCAGAGATACACGGAAACACAAGCACTATATCCTTAGAGAGGATCATTGCTTTTTCTGTGGCTGTTATTTTTAATTGGTACAGAGGACTGTGCAGTTTCCAAATGTGATCTGTTTCGGTATCTCATCAAAGATAGCATACGAGCGTGTGTCTACATGTGTATGAGGGCTTGTAGCTGCTCAGGGTTAGGGCATGTTTGTACATTGTGTAGCACTTTACACATTTCTCTAGTTTCACTATCGACCCACAAATATATACGAGTGTGTTTTCGTGTGAAAACTACACAGTAAGGAATGTAGATGTTTATACACAACAGAGAAATAACGAGAAATAACTGCCACCTTATCAACTGAGGGTTTGTATTTGTTTAGAGATTTCACTCCAACGTGGGAAAAGCAGAGTAGATGTTTTTAATAATAATTAAGGCATTTGTAGAGAATCTACACCCTATTATTCAGAATGTAAATGCCTCGAAATTAAACATGTTCATAGTTGAGTTGTTATTTTCAAAGCCTGACATTACTTGAATAGTAATTAAGACTGCAGCTAACAACATTCCTCGTGTTGTCTTATTGGCAAGCTTATGATTAATGGCTAAAATAGTAGAGTATAAAATGTCAGTAAACAGTGAAAGTGCCCATCACAATTTCGCAGAGCGCCAAATGACATCTTTAAATTTCTTGTTTCAGCCCAAAAGTCAATTTAGTGTCAATGAATGATAAAAAAAAAAACAGGTATTATTCACATTTGAAATGCTGGAAGCTGTGGACGCTAAAAAAATGACTTCAACAATTAACTGACTATCATGATATCTGGAAATTCATTTTCTAGAGTGACTAATAAACTAATCGAATGCTTGTTTCAGTTCTAATAATAACAAACATATAGCAAAAAGACGTGGCCGATGGACAGACAGAGGAGTCATTCCCAAAGCCAGAGGCAAAACTGCCAGGATGAGGATGGCAATGTAATTAAATTTAAATGTGTTCCACTGACAGCGGATGGGAGAGCAACTCTGCATAGACATGATGACTAAATGTGGAGTGGGGTGTATTTTCCAGTTTTTACTTTGTAAAACTGCAATTAATTTAAAGTTATTTGGGTGTAAAAAGCTCAAGTAAACAGTTTATGAGAACAAAAAGGCAGCGCTGACCATGCTGCCAATGGAGCAGCTCCACGCTTTGCCACATCAGATACTCAGAGTCAAACCAAAGTCCTCGTAACACTATGGTTGAGGGTGGATTTAACTTTAGTGTCCATGGAAGACATAACCTGAAGATCATAGAAGGCGGCAGTACACTCTGTTGCTCTATTCATAATCAGATGGTTCTTTTTGCTGCTCATGTCTTCTGTAGCTGTAAGGCTAAATTAGCCCTTTTTGCTATGAATATAAAAGGCTGATGCCAATGTAATGTGTGTATATCAGCACCGAGTTTGGTGGAAGCTCACTGGTATGATACAAAAGGGCTTTGATGTGTGGTGGATGCTGCCTCCAGTGGGACATACCGTAAGCTAGCAGGGGCCTGCTGGTGAAAAGGTGCAGTCTGACCTCTGCTGGTAAGAGATGATATTGCAGGATTTCTTTTCACAAATGGCAGAACATGCATGCTCATCTGAGTGAAGTACAGTATCTCCTTGTACAATGTCCAAGAAATAAAAGAGAAAAAGTGTAATAAAATTATGATCATCCTACTACTTGTTGCATGCGCCAGACAGAGTGGCAGGACGTCCTTGTAGCTATAGTCCGCTCAGGACTCAAGGACTGTGGAGACTGTGTAATAACACATAGCGTTTTTACTGAAACCTTTTTCATTCATCTATTTATTTATCTATCATTTGACTCTATGCACTAAACTTCAGCGTAGTTGCCATGGGCGGAAAGACAGAAAAAACCAAGAGGAAGAGGAGGAGGACGGGAATTGTAAGACTTCCAGCAGTGAAACTGCAACAGTCTACCAAGTCAACAAAAACCAAACCACATGTTTTTTTTTGCAACTACCCTCTGCTGCCTTCACAAAGCAACCAACAGAAAATAAACTCCTCCAAAGCATGTGTGGTAAAAAAAAAAAAGGAACTTTACAAAGCATCGCAGTGGTTTTTGTGTGGATTCAAATCACACTTTCATTCGGGTCTTTCTATCCACCAAACACTGCAGTTGTAGTTCCATAATTTTACTGACCTGTTCTCTGAACTGCTCCTGAGACAGGCAGTCGGTCATGTTGACGCAGCCCAACAGGCAGCCGGTGGGGTAGTCTTTAGGAAACCTGGGCTCTGCACACAAAACAAGAGCAATCAAAGATCCAACGACAAAAAAAAACTACAAGCATCATAGTAGAGTTTGTGGCTGTGGTTTGTGCACTTCAGATAAAGCAGCTAGAAACAAATCACTTCTTGTATTCACAGTCTTTCTACTGATTTGCTGTGTATAGTATGTGCACCTCTTTTGTAGATGTGGCGGTACATGGCTTCCACCTCAGCAATCTCCTGAGGGGTGGGCTTCTTGGCTGCAGCAGCAATCCAAAGACGACCTCGGTGTGATGTGTACCAAGTTCGCCCCTCTACCCTACACACAGACACAGACACAGACACAAAATGCAATGTTACCTCTTAGCACTGCGATTTTGTTCAAAGCCTCAAAATTCATTCTGGATTGTGTTTGCTCCTTACCTCTTGATGCCTTTGACCAGCAGTGAGGCCCATGGTTGGTGCATGCTGAGGCACAGGCCTCCGTCAGCCATCTCTTGCAGCTCTTTGTCTTGGAGCCGCAGCCTGTTACGTTCTTCTCCTCCCTTGTCCTCTGCCAAACTCCTTCGCTGTGCCATGTTTCTCCTGTAGCTTTCGCCGCCTCCAACGTTCACAAACTGCAAAGTGTATTCAATATCATCATTATCATTAGTAGAATCTGTGTGAATACCATCTGCACGATTTTCATGATGGGGAAAAAAGGACCTACCTCTGGTGCAGACTGAACTATGTTGGGGTTGACCAGGTCTCCGAGGCTCTGCTTTCCACTTTGTTTTTCAGAATACACTGGTGATTTTGACATAGTGTCATTGTTCATAGCCTTGAGGGTCTCATCCAGTCTGTAAATCATTGCAAACATTTCAAAAGGAGAAGGCGTTTATCATGACTACACAACACATATCCACCCTTGCAGCCTCGATTCAAGTGGCGTCAGATAATCTTACTTGTTGTAGTACTCGTTGAGGTTGCTTCCCTCTTCAACCACTTGTCTACCAGCAAAGTCCAGCGTGATCTTTCTGTCCTTGCGAGAGGCATGGCGAAGTTCCCTAAGCTCCTCCTCCTTCTTCTTCAGCTTTTCTCGCTCTCCGGGTGACAGCCACTGGTTGGACTCAGTAGCAAAGTAATCTGACTCATCATCCAGAACTTGTGTTCTCTTGACACTGGCGTTGAAGGGGACAGTAAACAAAGAGTAAACAGTAAACGTTAACATGAAATGTCACTGTTGTCTTCTACAGTTATCGAAATGTTAAAGTGCTGACATTGCGCAGCTATCCATTCTAGAGAAGCTGTGTGTTTCATGATACCTGTTCCTGTCATACTCCAGCAGTTTGTCTTTGTGCTGGAGGGCCTTCTCCAAGCCCGCCTTCATCTTGGCCTCATGGTGTGGGAGATAATCTCTGTCTCCAGAGTCTGTCACCACAATAAGAGCACATTTATGGCATTAACCTTTGTCATTATTTCATAGATTTTAGTATTTAATAATTCTGGCTAGTTTTGACTCTCACCTCCCATAAGCTTCTTTCTTAGTTTCTGACTTTTGTTGGAGTCTCGTTGCAGGATCTCCTGCTCTTCTTTTGTGCAGACCTGAATCAGTAAAGGAAAAATAAAAAATAGTGAGTACAGAATACTGAATTAGAAAATGACTGTCAGCATCACAAGTAGATTAAAATTAAAAAAAAATAGAATCTAAACAACCAAAACTTACGTACCAGCTTTCCACAGAAAAGGCAGGGTCCTGAGCCTTCTTGCTCACACACAATGCGACCACAGGTGATGCAGTTGTTGATAAGTTTGTGCCTTTGAGCAAGGCACTCACAGGCATATCGACCAGGGAGTAAGACAGCAAGCCTGTCCTGTCCCTCTTTAGCATAGAGACTGACAAACTTACTTTTCTTCTTTGTTGAAGAACCACTACTGTTTTCTTGGGCCTTAGAAAGTAGTAAAGGAAGTAAGGAAACATGGCGATAGGAATAAAACAGATGAGGAAAATTAGCACAACAAGAAAAATGTAAGTAAAGTAGGTAGGTAGGTGATAAGAGAGCATATGTTTATATACTCACCCTCATCAAATCAATGGGGGTTTTGACTGCCTCTGGCTCAGGTTCTGTTTGGCTCACAGTCATTACCTCCTGTTTGTTACGGCCCTTGCGTTTAGACTTCTTCTGGGTATCTTTAGTCAGGTCTTGTGAGTCTAGGAAAAGCAGGCAAATTGCCATTACCACATTAGAATTAGTAGGTATTTACATTGCTTAATTATGCGCAAGTACCTTGCGTAGCAGTTTCATCTGAGGTTTTTAATGGCTGGGAAGAATTTTATGTACAGGGTAAATCAAGATATATTCAATGGCAGACATCAGGCGTTTATTGCTCTACCTGCTGATGAAACAGATTCTTTAAGAAGGAAAAGACTTGTGGTATCTGTGGCCTGTCTTTGAGTCTTCTTCCATCTGCTGAGGAGCTCGTCTATAAACTGCCTTTTTAACCCATCCGTGCCCTGCAGGAGGTCTCCCATGTACTCCTCGATCTCCTCAGCTGTTTCGATGGATAGAATGTATCTAGACAGCAGAGTGACACAATAACCATTTAATTTAATGACATTTCTTATCAAAGCGGGTGTTGTAAGGCAAAAAAAATAACAGTGCTTTCTAATTCCATTATCATCTTTATGTCTATGTGGCAAAGCAAAGGGTGTGAATGTGACGTTTCAGATTCTCCTTTTAAATAAATTTGCAAAAAAATATGAAATTCTACTTTCGCCTTGTCAGTATGAGGTAAAGAGTGTAGATTGATGAAGAACAAAAACATGCAACTATGCAACTTAACAGAATATGAAATAAGTGAAGGGGGTATGAATACTTTCCAGCTGCACTGTACATACTTAGGTAACATTTTCAATGCAGTATTTGTACTTGTAATGGTATATTTTTACAGCGTGGTATTACTACTCCTAGTAAAATAAAGGATCTGAGTACTTCTTCCACCATCCAGGAAGTGTCATCTCGAGAACAGGAATTTAATTGAGTTTGATGGGTTAGGGAATAAATATGTAATACACCTGTCAGACTGTGTACCCTCTGCTGTAACAGCTGGAATTACAAACTTATTTAGCTGTATTTGAGGATATCAGTAAATTAAACGCACACATATAACGATAATTATACTAGTTTAATTACATTTTGACACACAGACATTTCATTCAATCATACCTAAACCCATTACATCACAGTACTGCATAACCAAGTTAGCTTCTTTAACGTTAGCTTGTTGAGCGGGCGGTGTCAGATTTAACTAGCGTTAACATTTCTTACGTGACGATGTCTTCACACGCCTCCAACCCAAACTTGTGGTGTAACTGGTCCACACACCAGTGCAGCAAAGCGTCCGACATTTTACCGTCTAAAACACTTTAAACCCCCGAGCTGAAACCAAAACTCAAACCATCACACGAACGTGTTTCCAGTCGGCGGGATAACAGTGTCGCACACACATACGTGGCAGCTTGATATCCCATCCTGAAGAAAACTCTGCTGTGGGTGAAGGGGTTCCTCCCAACTCTTAAGACTTCAAGCAAGCAACCAAACATCAAACAGAAAGACGAAGAACGAGTCGTTATATTGTCAGGGAAGAGCACCAGTTAAACTGTTATTTTTCCTATTAATATATATATTAATACTAGTTTGAGTTGTTAAGCAGTCGGGATCCTTAACGTTCCTCAGTGTCCATTTCTCTTACAGTTGTATGCAAAAGTTGGGGCACCCCTGGGTTTATTTTATTTATTTATTTAAATTGTTCTACTTCTTTTCACTTCAAAAATCAACAAAATGTGTAATTTGCCCGTCTCTGTGCAAATTACGTATTTTGATGATGAACACTTGCTCATTTGGTAAATATTATTTTGGGGGTTGTGAGGAAGTCATGGGCAAAAGCGAACAGGTAGATGGAAGAATGTATATTAGCACATACATGATATCATTGTCATGCAGTCAGTCACGAGGCTGGTTTCTACAACGGGACAACATGATCAAAAGGAGTCCTCAAAATACACCGTGAACTTTTCAACTCAAGCTGAAGTTTTTTGGAAAGGTCCCCTGAGCTGAACATCAAATCTGTAGGTATTGAACAGGTTGTGCATGCAAGGCAACCTAAACCTACCGACCTAGACACCCTAAAATAAGAAGTGGGCGACGATTCCTAATGCTCCCATATGTCTTGGCATATGATCCTATAAACTAAACTATGTTTGTGTGGCCTTTGCTGCCTTTGCTTCTCGTAGGATCTGCATGCCCCTTCAGTTTCCAGTGACTGAGGGGCATATTTTTGTTTTCAACTAAAGTACGGTGCCTGACGGTATTATTCTGGATTCAGCTGTTGATTACTCTAGACGTTATGGTCTGTGTGTCGCTGTAATTGGATGTGCTTAATAAATTCAGTCACTAGGTGGCAGTTTTGTAATGCTGTGAAATACAGAACCTTAGAGCATCTGCTCGTGTCAAATCATGATGCTTTCCACTAGATGCTGACACATAGTGAGGGCCAGTGGTGAAATGTAAACACGCTTACTCAAGTACTGTAGGTTAAGTATGGAATAGTATAAAATAGCTGAAATTACTCCACCTCCACTATGCTACATTAAATTGCAACTGACACATTAATGGACCCTTAATAATAATCTAATAAAGGAATATATAACATTATTATAAATTGTATTAAAAGTTTTGATAACCTGGTTAATAATAAAAGCTGCAAATGTTATTTATAAGATTCTATTTATGAGCTCTAAAGACTCCAAATAGTTGACCACTTCTATTTTTTCCAAGTAACCTCTAAAATTAGATTTTTACATTTATGGAATGAGGAAAGTGATGTGTGCATCTTCTGTAACTGGTAGCGATAATTAAATTAGTCCAATAATCAGCACACTATTGTTAAGCGATGATTGAGGACAAAACCATCAAATCAAGCATTTATAACAACTTGCTTATTGTTCAAACCATTTTACATTCAATTCTGCAAAATTGGATGTAAGCTAACTGATGACTCATTACTCTTAATACATTTCTGTGAGAGTTGTATTGCAGTACTTTTGTATTTTATCCATCCAAAAGTAGTTTTTTTTATTTATTTATGAAGCGTTAGATTTCTGTTTTCTGTTTCAATGTGATAGTGGTTATGTGGATTGAAAACAGTTCTGTGCAGCAAGACAATTTTTGATGTGCTGTGCCATTTCCGAATACAAAAGATACATTTATTTGTGTAACCTCACAGTATAGCTTTTTACTTTACATGACAAAATTAACTGAAATTGACTGATATCAAAATAAACAAACTATTTTTATCTCATGTTAATTTTTTATTATTATTATTTTTTATTATTACAAAATGTTATATTAAAAATGAGTAAGAAACAATAAGTAAATCAAAGTAAATTTTGATGTTCGGTTATGCTTATGATAATAATCAACTAGAATTTGTTTTCATAGAAAGGCAATTTAAAACATCACAAAACTGTTCTGGACATATGAGGAATCATGCAAGACAACAGAATCATTTCAATACAAGATACTGCAGCTGCAATGTTCGATGTATGGAATATATTTTAGTCAGGATCTTCTAATAGATAGATTGTAATGAACAATAATACACAGGTAACATCATATAACAAACCACAGTTGCATTCTCTGTAGGTAAGCAAATTACATCATAAACAATGCTTTGTAGGATCAATATTTTTCAGTCATTTCAAAACTGGGACGAGGGAATCAAATTCAAATGTTAACTGATAGCACACCATCAGGCTGTGTTATATAAAAGGAAAAAGCTGGCCATTTTCACCACTATAATGTGAGGCATGTAATTATTTATGCATTACATACATAAGTCCTCAGTTTGGTTAAATGTTTGGTGATATAGAAGTCCCATACACACTAGGTGAGTTAACTGTGTCCAAATTACTGCCCCATGAGTTTACAAATTGTTGTTGGTTAGTAGACTTTTGTTTTCACTGCGATAAAGCTCTCAAGTGAAAAAGTCTTTGGAAATGGCCTCCACAAAGTTGGGTGCTGACATGAGGATCCCGATGGTGCAGAGGATAGTGATGAGCGAGAAAGCCATGAGACAAAGCCTGTCGATAACAGATGCAGCAAATTTCCACTCGTTGCACACTGACTCATGCTCGTCTTGGTAACGGAAGCGTTTGGCAATATAGCGCACCTCGTCCAGGATCTTGACCAGCTCTGGCTCCAGACTCTTCACGAAGGGGGTCTGACCTGCGGGGAGGAGCATCTCATCCTCACCTTCCTGTCCAGCCAGTCGTCCACACGCGGCCCCGGAGTCAGATGAGGTGGCAGCTGTGGAGTAGTGAATGCTCTCCAGGTTGCGCATGCCAACATAGAGCACGTTGCCGTTGGTGGGTGGGGGGGCTGAGGCGCCAGCACTGACGTCTATGCTGGTCACGCTGCTCCGTGGAGCCTTATTGTGACAGGCTGAACGCACCCGCTCCTCACCTGGACGCTTCATGCGCAGGAACCAGGCGCACCAGTTCAGCAGGATCACACGGGTCTATGGGATCAAAACGACAGTGAATAAGGAACAGATCAACAAGGCTCATGTTAACTTAAAATTAAACCTTGAAGAAATGAGACAGAACCTACAGCCTGTCTTCAAGTCTAATTTGTTTGGGTCAGAAACGGCCCAAACTGACATACACAATAAAAGATGGCCCCAAATAATACCAGTCTTTGATTGGTCGGCAGATGTCCATTGCATCCTGTATCACAAAACCTTCAAATTTTTGGTCAACATTGTAAGTACAAAAAGGTTATGTATGTTAAACTGCAGGTTGTAGCGTTCTTTGACTCTAAACACTTTCATTCTGTGATTATATCAGAAGACCTCGTTAACATTTTATAGAAACACATTGGCCAGACTCTGAATCAACCTGGTAAATTTAGTTTAAACGTTTTTATATTTTCATAACTGGTTAGCTATCTTTACCACATCTGAACACCAAGTGATTTTCTGGTGATGTCCTGTGAACTTTTCAGCATATGTCCGTCTGAGATACCTCATGGACACATGGCTTTACACAAGCAAATGCATGTTTATCTTCATAAACCACTGCAAGTGAAGCAAAAAACAAAAGCAGTACAATCAAAGCAAATGTCCGCCGTTTATCATAATCTATTCACAGTTCTGGGGCGTGGTTGAGAGGCAAATGACTTATGTTGGTGTTGATGAGATCATAGTAAGTCACAGATAATGACAGAAGACTCACCCACTTTGGCATCTTGCTTCCATCAGGGTCATGGTGGTGATATTGTAATACCAGAACTGTAGCAATTACTGAGAGTCCAACAATGACCATCGTAGTTGCAAAGTACTGAGCTGGGTAAAGAAGAAACAGAGGACATTTAAAACAGATGCCACTAAATTTATAAGGAAAAAAAAAAAAGGATAAAATGCAGTATAGTGTAGGGAAACAGAAAAGCTCACAGTCCAAGAGAACAAAATAACCTTTTGGCTTCAAACACACCACTCACTTCGTGTGTGTCAGAGAAATGCAAAAAGCTACTTCTTTATTTCACTCTTTCAAATATGGTGGCTCAGATCTCTAAATAAAAAAAAATAGAAAATATTGGATGGCTGCTTAAACTCAGTTAGACCGGGATATAAGAAATGACTATGCAATTTGCCACCCGTGTCTTCCCACTGATAGTAGCTGACACCCATAGCGACTGCTTTTAACTTTAGCCTGGCTTACCTATTAAAGGCACCGAGTCTGATGTGGCAGGCATAATCTCTGCAACTAGCAGCATAAAGACAGTCAGGGAGAGCAGGACTGTAATGCCTGGGAAGGAAACCAAAGCTCAGTTAGCGTTTCACAACAGAACCATTAAGTACAATGAAAAGTCTTAAAATCACACATTTATGACAGAGACCCATGGTTCTTTGAACCTGCAAAATATGTCACACTTTTTCATCCTTAAAATTATTTTGTAATAACATGCCAAGGATTAAGTGAGCTTTTCTGATGTTTAGCTTTCTGTAGACTAATTGTTTTCTTCCATTTACGTGCTTCCAGTTGCACCAGACTAACTTCTATTCTGTTGTCTATTCTTGTTTTGTTCGTATTTTGTGTGAAGTTCTCCAATCTATGCCACGCATTTGTAAAGCCTTATATTCTTATGCTAATTTTGCCTTGTTCAAATTTTATGCTACTTTCCCACAATGGGATGCTGCACTGTAGCCAGCAGTGAAGGACAATCCCCCCCAAATCAGAATTGCAGCTGTTAAAGTTTATCACCATCACTATCAGAGCTGAGAATGCACAAGTAGAGACGAGTTTTAACTAATGAGGCGACACACTTAAGCCACTGGCTCTTGCTGTCTTATTAAAAGACTGAACTTCTAAGCAGGATTAGGAGTCACAGATATTCTGGTGTATGTTTGACACCTCTGCCGTAATGCTGTCAGGACTGCTGCTGCTGCTGCTGTTTCTTATACTGTATCTGTGGAACTAGGAGGAGCATGTGAATCCTTTTTAAATGACGATGAGTGTTGCATGCATGATCTCAAATATCATAATAATATGAATAATACTGTGTTTTAAAAAGATTATCAAAGAATGAATTAAAGAAAATCATTAAAAAAAACATCCAGTTGTTTTTTGCCAAGTTTAGTTTCATTTTATTGGTGGTGATATTTTTGTCTTTTAGACTATTTGAAAAACTGCATCTGAATAACTGTAAAACAGCTTATCTTTACAGTAACAATGATTCAGTTCCTCTGGATAATCCAACCACCTCACTGCCAACACCCGTAATTAGGAACTATTTTCTACCGAAAGCAGAAAATACGAACAATATTTTCTCGAATGAGTGTATCAAACACAAACTAAATTCCCTTCAGCTCCAGTGTAAAGGGATGCAAGAAGATGCTTTCGAAAATTTCAACATCTCTCCAAATAAAAGCTTAATATTATGCAGAGCTAGATGAGAAATGGGACAACATGTTTTTGCTTTGTAATTTGGAAGAACCAATCCTTTAAACAAATAAACAAAGCTTATTGAAACATGATCCCAGTACTGGTGATGAGTCTCATAATAAAAACAGACATTCCCAATACTGATATAAAAACATAGATGCAGACATAAACACCCAAATCACACTAATGTAGGTATGAATGGATTTTGTACTGTCATACTTACGGTATATTACATGTGTTATTCTTATTTGCAATTACTCTTACTACATCTTCATTTTTCGTTAGTACATGTTAAGTTTTCGATGGCCAGGGTAGAGATGCTTAGTAATTGAATGCAAAATGCAGTGGTGATGATAGTTAAGCTTCACACACAATAATTATAATCCTGTTGATCTATTTGCCTTTTTTGCAAATCATAATTCTCATGACAGCCCAATTCTACTGAAATTAAATCAGAGAATAAATGCTGCCATGAAAACATATTGCTCAATGTGGGTTCACCATTCTGAAATAATAATAATGGCAACGAGCGGCTGGGTTGATATACTGACTCCATATACAGTAGATCTGTGACCACACGTTCCCACACACACACACTTACACACACTCGCACAGTAAATATATGTATATATATACAGTATATATATATATATAACATATGACAAATCCCTGATGTGAGCTGTGAACGACAGTACATAAAACCCTTTTTGATAGAGAACATTAAGATCTTCGTAACAGCCTATTACACCTCACATGAGCAATTCTCATTCCCAATTTCCTCTATCTGTCCATGAGCTATTAAAACATCAGAGGGAATGCAAACATGTAGGTACAAACACACACATAAGCCCACACATCTGGCTCTAAAGCACTGTTTGGTTAATGAAGGAATCCAGCTGCAGGAGTCTAATGATTTGCGGAAGGTACAAACTGCATAAATCAACGCTCCGACTCGCCCCACTTCCCCAACCCGCTCCCACATAGAGTACAACACACGAACACACACCACCACCACCACCACCACCACCCACCCACTGACACAGTCTACATAAAGCCTATATATAATTTATGCACAAACTCCTCTGACAGTTTAGTCAGCTACTAAGTGCCGATTACCACTTTACTTCACAAGGCCACAGAGGAAGTGTATTAACGACAAACGATTCATTTTCATAAAATGACCGATTACCCAGGAGACAATTGGGCTCAGATTTAAAGTTGTTTTCAATGAAGAATAAACAAAGAATAATAGAAAGGTTGGCTGTGTCAAAACGTGCGCTGTGAAAGATTTGACTTGATTGAGATCTCATTTATTTTCAGTAGTTTTTTTTTGTTTTTACAGCACACACAGTTAGCAAAGTCAAGATCACAGTTAAGTCAGCATGGCAGGAGGCCACCAAAGTAATGCTCTAGAAATATAAAATTTGGCAGCATGCAGGGTTTCAATGGTCATGTAATTTTAATGCTCATGTAAACTCTACACACATACATCTCAAGAAAAGAAGAACATCAACATCCAGATATAATTTAATGGGTCAAAAGTGCGTAAGATGATATGTGGCGATAGTCCAAAGATCTATTAGGATCCAAGCAGAATATATTAGAAAGCATTCAGAAAGTATTCAGACCCCTTCAATTTTTTTTACAGTTTGTAGTCCTTTTTTATTTTAGCAGCCTCATGCTAATATAAAAAAATATATTTTTCACCTCATCAATCTGCACTCAATACCTCATAATGAAAAAATCAAAACAACATTTTTTGCAAATTTATCAAAAAGGAAAAAACTGAAATATCACATTGACATAACTATTCAGATCCTTTGCGATGACACTTTAAATTTAGCTCAGGTGCTTCCCATTACTCTTGATTATCTTTGAGGTGTTTCTACACATTGACTGGAGTCTAACTGTGGTGAATCCAATCGGTTGGACATGATTTGAAAGGGCTAACACCTGTCTATATAAAGTCTCACAGATGACCGGTATACACTACTGGAGCAAAAACGAAGCCCTGAGGCGGAAGGAGCTGCCTGCAGAGCTCAGAGACAGGATTGTGTTGAGGCACAGATCTGGGGGAAGCTACAAAATAAACTCTCCACACAGGATCTCTGGAGCTCAGACAGAGTGACCATCAGGTTCTTGGTCACCTCACTTACTAAGGCCCTTCTCCCCTGATTGCTCAGTTTGCCTGGCAGCTCTAGGAAGAGTCCCGGTTGACCCAATCTTCTTCCATTTAAGAATTATGGAGGCCACTGTGCTCTTGGGAACCTTCAATGCAACAGATTTTTTTTTTTTCAAAAATAAACGAGCAATGTACTGCACTACCTGGAAACTTAATGTGACTACAGTTATGTTACTTAGCAATAGGTGACCTCCAAACGATAGTGAGCGCACTACTTTACTTCTGCAATGAAGCAGGGCCAGACCAGCAATCTGTAGTACGTTTGTGTGTGTATGTGTGTTGCCCTAACCCAGTGAGATCTTCTCCCCAGAGTCCGCAGGCAGAAGGAAGACGAGCAGGGCCAGAGTGGAGATCAGAACACACGGGATGAGCAGATTGAGGCCATAGTAGAGGGTCCGTCTCCGCATCACCACAGTGAAGGTGACATCAGGGTACGGCTCCTCACAGCAGGCGTAGAAACGCTCGTTTTTCTGCCCTGGAACCTCTGTGAGGTAAAAACAAAACACAATCTACTCTGGAAGACTTGGCGTGAAAAGTTATGGAGAAATTATCCCTTCACTGACATTTCAATTCTCTCTGCACTTCACAGGTCACAGGCCCCTCTCACCAACAAGATCCCACTCTCCATTAGCAACATAGCCACTGATATCTGCCTCCACCATCTTCAGGTCCAGAGAAAAGCCCCCATAAGTCCAGGAGCCAAACTTCAGGTCACATCTCTGGACATCAAAAGGGAACCAGCGCACATCGATGTAGCAAGTGGTCTTGAAGATCCCTGTGTGGTTGGAAACATGAAAACACAAGGCTTTGATATGTACTGTACCGAATACAGAGGGAGATGGAAATAAAAGAAATGACAGTGCCCAACAGCTGGAGAGGTTTTACACCAAGAGCTATGAGAGTCTGAGTGCCATCCATCCTAACAAGGGTAAAAAAAATCAAATATGAAACTAATTTCAATCCATTTCTAAGAAAGATATGAGATGCTGGCAGTAAACAACATTTCTCCTCTGTCTCATTGCCATGCAGATGATAAACCTCAGCAGGGAGCGAATGGTGATGGGGAGCAGACAAGTAGAATGACTCCTATTTACTGCGATGAACCTCAGTGAAAAAGACATTGTAATTTGGTAGGTTACATCTGCATACATCTTTACTCATTTAACGCAGTTGTGCTGAGCTCAAGTGGCGAATAACTAATTTGCACCAATATGGCATTCAATGAGGGTTCATTCTGAACTAAGTTGCGAGGCAATTTGCTTGTGACAGAGGCAATCGACCCAGAAGAAATTCAGTGATGGAGCTATTTACGCTGGTATTGATTAAGATGCTGAGGTGAAGCAGGCCCATGCTTTTGCATCGTAAGGGAAAAAACACTGGGAAGAAAAGCCTGCCAGGGAACGCAGTAATCACTGGCTGTGACAGAAAACGCCCTGTGTTTCGATGTTTTTCCCATCCATGAATGTGTGTGCATGTGTGTACATGTGTACATACAAATGGGTCGATGGTTTCACAGAAAAGTATCATAGATTTTCTACAACCACACGTTCTGGCACTAGTGGGTCAGTAGGGGCTTGATCAGGAAATAACTTCACTGCTCAAAGCGTCTGGCACTAGTGGGTCACTAGAGGTTTGATAAGGAAATAGCTTCACTGCTCAAAGCATCGAGCACTAATGGAGAAGAGATGGGCATTCTGGGAAAATACATTTGGTTTTATTCTCAAGAGTTACATGAGAAAATGAAAACCACACTTATACAATAATATAATATATAATAAATATACTACTATATACTATATACTACTAGCCTCAGCCCGTAGCTGGGTAGCTTAGTTTAGAATAAAGGCAGGAAACAGGGGGAAACAGCTAGCCTGGCTCTGTCCCTACAGGCGGCAAATTAAAGTTTTGCACAGACTAAACAAAGGAAATAAAAATAGTTAATTATTGACCTATTGTCTTGCTATCAGGTAGATTTTATGTTTTTACCTTTGCACAGAGCCAGGCTTGCTGTTTAACCTGTTTTAAAGGAGCTATTTATCAGTTTTGCTATTGCTACATAGCTAGCCTTAGCGTTAACAGCTGTTTACTTACCTGTCTAAAAGAAACATTGTGAGTTCAGCATTAAATTTCTTTCCTTTACTTATCAAGAGCTCCAGAGTCTCCAGCAGTGGAAAGCAACGCCAACATGAAGTCTTGTCTCTATCCCGTCTTTTCTTCTACTTAAGTTAGCATGCTAACCAGCTAGCTAGCTAACAAGCTAGCCAATGTCAATCTTCTCGTCTAAAGTGAATAATGTAAAAATGTTACACAATTTCTTTAGTAAAATAACGATGTGAATTTAGTCCTGTGAAGGTAAAAAACAAACCTCTTAGGATATCTGATAGCTGTAGGGAGTTAATTCAAAGCTCTGAATATTCAGCAGCTTCTTCTGTTGTAACCCTTAGTAGAAATCCCCACGAGAAAATACAAAGTAATGTTTATACAGTTTATCCTGTTTATACAGCACAATGGTAGAGCTAGGAAGTTAAACCTTTTTTGTGCAAATTCATTCAGTTCATATTTTTATGACAACAAGACTATGAATCAAAAGACTGACAACTACTGTGATTTGATGATATTTGCATATGATTTCTATGAAACATTAATGATATATGAATAACTCCAGCACACCTCAGCAGCTAAGAGTTTATATTTGCTCATTATTTGCGTTTATGTCGCTCCACTCCGTCCTATGATGCTATACTGGACCTGCATTCATGTTCACTGCTCTGAATAATTAAAACAGAACACCAAGGGTTGGTGACAAGTACCTGTTCAATAATACCCATGTGGGTACAGATGCGCTCTAATGGCAGACTTGGATAATGTAAGGCGTTTTCATATATGAATGATTCAAACCCAAGCTGCTGTCCTCTGTGGACCACTACTGTCAGATCTCTTAGTTGAACTGTAATGCAATAATGTTTTAATAATTAAAGAAGTGAATTGTGATACACTAGGAGTACTTATTACATATTTAGTCACACAAGCAACAAATACTGCAGAGCAGGGGTGGGCCAGTTTCAGCATTGTTCAGTTGGAGGGTGCAGGTTGTGTTGAGACACAGGCCTATACTGTATGTTGTTTTTATTTTTGAGTTTTGCATTTCTGTTAAATATAAAACAGGTTTATAAATCTGGTTGTTTTAGGGTTGTATCCAAGGACAGGTCACTGAGAGTTTACAGAGTCACAGCAGCAAATGTTCATGTTTATTTGGCAAAAAAAACCAAACAAACAACAAAACTCTGATGTAAGCTTTGCGTCACCACTCCTGTCAACTCTAGTGTCACATTTGCCTTGACTTGCCTTTTTCCTTCCATGCACTAACTCTCCTCTCATTTCAGATCCACTCTCCATCCCCTGCCCTTCCCCGCCCACACACACACCTGTTCCCTTCCTCCCATTAGCTCTGTAGTATATGCTGTACGTACACCGGCCACTTTCAATCACTTTTTGTCAGATTGTCTATTGTGCTTCGGCTATAGATTTCCATCCTTCAGTTTTCTGCATGCTGATGTACATACGGTTTAAAAATGAAGTAATTTGATTGGCAGTATGGATTCCATGTGAACAGAGAGCTAATGGTATTCCAATGAATTAATGCAAATAGGGGGTACTGTCATGAAATCAAAAAATAAACAAAAATGAAATGAAAGTAAAAATGTCTCCCTTTTGGGTTATGTTTGTTTTTTTCTCACACAGGACACATGGCATGTAATTTACAGAAGGAATCATGCAATTTAATTTCAGTTGGATGTATGGAACATAATGACTAGTGCCATCATACTTTAGGTTCTTGGTGCAAATAGTTGTCTTATTACCAGTGATATGGTAATTGACATCCTACTTTATCCTTCACATCATGTGCTATATAATTTTGCCATATATACTTTTAGACTCTAGAGGCAGAATGTTAGGTTTACTTATATGTTTTGTGTAAAAATAGTATGTGTTTCATTTGATATCACTGAGAGGAAAGCTTTTACTTTGCTGCTTATGTAAGTTTTGCTGTGTATCTCAGGTGTTTTTCAAATCAAGTAGCATCTGTGACTATTTTGAGATATTTTTAGGTGTGAAAAAAACTGCAGAGGAAGGGAGCAATGATCCAACATCTAATATTTCCACTGAGTAAACATCTGGTTTTGTCTGATACTGAAATGTGAGTGTTAACTGAGATTATAATTCTTACCTGGAGGTATGTAAGAACAGGCGCCCGTGGAATCGACCAAAATGTTGGTGCGGAAAGTACCATCAAATCTTTCATCTGCACTGTGGACAACATGAAACTATGTCAGTATTTCCCGCTGAGTTATCTGTAACCCAAATACAGCTTCAGTAGAAAACACCATAATTAATTCATAAACTGGTAGGACCTTTGCAAAGACCCGCTATTAATTATAAGGATGTAACATAAATTTGGATAAGCCGCAAACAGCGAGGGGAACAGATGTGGTGGAGAAATACAAACATTTCTCTAACTCCTTATTGCAGCAGGTACAGAGCACACGAGGAGTCACAACTGATGCAACGTTTCCCTGGAGATGGGTATTCAGTGGTTACCCTCATTCTCCCCTGCTACCCACAATTCATTCCCTCTAAATGAACTCCCCAGAGGGTGAGGCAGGGTTGAGCTTCAGTTGAAAGAGTTGCTTGAAAAAGAAAAAAAGAAAAAAAAAAACTTAACTTGCAGCAGCGACTAATTCAAAGAGTCTCAGATCAAGGCTTTACTCAGTGGGACAATGACAAATGAAGTACACTGCTTTTTCCCTCATTAGCTGATGGGGGGGTAGAGTGCCTCTAATGTGATTTGTTAAGATCTTTCTTTTAAAGATTGATTAATGGTGATCTCTTTAGTATTTTCCACAAGGGACATATAATAAAATGCTCTTTCTCCCATCTTTCTGATACAAGTTTATTCATTTGTTTAAATGATTTATTGCTCCAAAGTGCTCTTTTAGACAGTACAGCATATATCTAAACTGCAGAGCACCACTAACCTTGAAGTGTTATACTCCTGTCTGAAACCCAGCTTACATAACAGGACACAGTACGTTCACTTTATGCACATTGATCTTCCAAGCTTGTGCAAGATGTAAATGCTTAGTTTTAAAAAATTAGATATTTGTTCCGAAAGAAGTGAGGTTTAAGTTTGTTCATACATCTTTTGTTTTCTGCTTGTGAATACCTCTCTGGAAGATATCCCGAACAAGTCCTGTGATAACCCGGGGTCTGAAGCCTGAATATTCTAGCACATTCTGACATGTCACCAGAGAGCAAAAGAAAATCCCACCGCAGAGCTTGAAGTCCTGCTGTCAGAAATCAGCAGATGAAAACATAAAAAATTTAGCTGTGTCATCCAGCACCAAAAAAATGCAAAGTTGGAGTTAAACCAACTTAAAAAAAAAGCTGTGGCCACTAGAGCGGTCCTTAAAAATGGGAGGTGCTCAAGGAGAAAATTTTATTCAATTATTCAGATTTTTATTGTATTCACTAACATATATAAAATCCAAATTCACTCACAAGGTATTTAATTAATAAGTCAGTTATTTTACAAGTCATCTGCACATGACTTGTTCAACAGGTCGGTCTGGATCAATTCTACATCCTAAAAAATTTTGTGCACATATTCTCTTAAATCACTTGTAGAGGTGAAGAATGAAACTGTTCGGAGTGGTGTGGTACTTGCGTGAGTGCCAATGTTTCTCTTGATTACATATTTCAAAGACACGACCACAGAGCCAATACAAACAATTCCTTTATGTTTTAGAAATGTCAGATATCTGGTGTCTAACAAATCGCAGTCAGTGTGGCAAATATAATCCAAAAAATGCATCTTCCCTCCGAGATCTCTCCCCTTTACATCGTGCAGAGGAAGATGCATTCAGGCGGAGTCTGACACCGTTCATTTCTAATGTGCCTACCTGTTATAGAGCAGGATGTCTGGCTTCCAAATGAGATTGTCAGGAAATCTCACATTGGGAACACCTGGATACTCCGATTCATTCCACTGGAGGTAATGATCATTCCAGTACTGTGGGACACAGAAACATAACATGCTTTTCATAAATCACATACATACTGTATCTTTGACATGTTTATGGGGGTAGCTGAATATGCTGAAATATGGAGGGTGATATCCTGGTATCTGTACCTTTCAGAAAAATGGTAAGACAGTGACAAATACAATAGGTTATGCAGCCACAGGTGCTTTGGTAGATCCTGCTTTCATGTGTGGAGGATCAGAATCTTATTATCATATACCCACGCATAGGTCAGGATGTTATTATGTTCATTTAACACTGTCGGTAAATATAATTCAAATGACTGATGATCAGTTGGAAAACACTTCTTCAATTGCAGCAGTCATGTTAGGGAAGCCCAGATCTCTTCCTACTATAGAAGTGACTTCTTTAGCTTTACATACTTTATCTGATACCATGTAAATAACACACGCTCAAGTCTCACAGACTGACGCTGCAGCAGCAGCAGCCTGATTTTCTTATTCTTTGAAGATGAGGGTTATATTCTGAGTAATGAGATGAATATTTATGCATACTTTAGTACATTTACCTGTTGAAGTTGTATTCTGTTTACATTTATTTGTTCTATTCATTTTTATTTTTACTTGATAGTACATGTTGTTTTCGTCTGGGCCACCAGCAACAGCTGTGGTCAGAGGTATGTTATGATCTCATTCAGGTCTCTCTGGAATCCAGTGTCAGGAGATCTTCTACAACGTAGAACTTTAACCCCTGAGCTGTGCCTCATGTTGTAAATAATGGAGGTGACAGGTACGCTTGGTTATTTTAACAGGGCTGAGCTGACAGTTAAAAAGCCAAGGTGGCATTAAATTGGAAAATGGACAAAACACCACAAAAAATAACGACTAGTACGCTGATAATAGTCACTACTTAAAGTGAAACTGCACAATTTGTGAGAGTCAAAACATGATTGGAAAGTTGAATCTTTCACCATATGTGACCTCTTTGAAAAACAAGCACAAAACCAGGCCCACACCAGATGTGAGCATATGATGACTTTGGCTGAATTCCAGCTCGGGAAAGCCAAATGTTACAGCTGGTCAACTTGGCTAACACATAGTATCTTGGGTTTTTAGGCCTTGATGAAGATGCCTTTTCTTGTCAGATCTATAAGTTATTATTGAATTATTTTATACCATAGTGGTGTTCAAAAAAACATCTGTGGCCAGCATGAAGAAAAATAAAGGGCAGTCCCTAGTCCCCAGAGACTCATTTTTATCACTGATCCTTGTCTCCTCCATTTTTTCTATGTTGTTATGTTGCTGGAGTCGGCCACCAGTTAGTTTAGCTTATCGTAAGGACCTGAATCAGAGTGAAACAGCTAGCCTGGCGTCAGTTTCCGCACAGATTGAACAAGATAAAGACGTGTCAATGAGTTAAATTTAGAGTGTCAAATTATTTCATGTGTCAATGATTTCACCCAGGTGTGTTGGGTGGTGCTAGCTCTCCTCTGTGGGAGGCTGGAGAGGACACTACCCTCACTCCAGTCTGAGTGAGAGATTTAAAGTTTGAGGTCTTGGGAGTTGTTGTATGTTTCACTTAGATTTAATGTGGGTGCTGCTTTTTAACATTTGTGTGTCTGGATGTTTGCAGTGTGGCCACGCAACCTTTTAACAGATGCTCGCTATGAGATGTTAATCTACTGTGTGTGGGAAATGTTGACATAGCAGGTATATGATGTTAATGTTATTGTTTAGGTTTAAGTATTTAAAAATTTTGCAATTATTGTTTGTGTTTTGCGGTGATTGCCAGTTGGTGTTACCACTGTTTTCCTGCTGGTCATTTGTCTTTGTTTGTGAGGTTTGTTCTCTTTGGTTAGTCCGCCCGGCCTCGCCTGTGACGGACCGTTTTTGCTTTTGCTTTTTTTTTGTTAATTGTTTTGTTAGCTTTGGTTTGCCACTCCTCCCATTTCAACCTGCTATGGGCAATCAATCGCTTTAATCCCTAGCAGGACTGAGATCGGATGTGTTTGCTGGTTGTATTCATGTGTGAATTGAAGTGATCTGTGTTTCAGTATTGAGTGTGACAGTTTGGTGAGCAGTAACCTCTGATTTATTCATCACGCATGGTTCTCAATGTTCTTCAGTCAACTTTAGGGAATTATTGGAGTATATGATTAGCCACCTTTTGGGAACGTGAATAGGGTTTGTGCTGTATGTGTTGTGTTTAATGCAATAAATATTGGCACCTGTATTTATCTAGTGCTGGTGTAGGACTGTTGTACTAGATGATACATATTCCTTTAAGCCACTTTTAATGAAACTCACTGACGGCCCCAGGAGAGGGAAACATGGTGAAAACAGAAGTGTATTGGGCATTAACAAGACTAAAGTATTACACAGCCATTTGTCATTGCAGTCAACCACTAACATGATGTCTGAATCTAAAAGTGAAGCTGCTCAATTATTCATGTCATTATTTTTCTAAATGCTACAGTAGTCAGTGCAATTATAATTTATTCATTCGAACACTATCCTGAGGCAGTTAAACATCTTATAATTACTACTCTCTGGCAGAAAATGATTGAGTGTGTAATCTCACAGAGCCATCTTCACTGTGTCAAAGTGTCCTTCAGAGATGAACACATCTTTAGGACATTTAAACTTTCTTTCCTTGAGTCCACACAAATAGACTGAGCGAACACATGCTAAATCGACGCTAACAGACAGTAGATACCGCGGATGCTGTCTGCACTATCTTGTGTTTGAGAGCCGGAGTCAATTGTGTGGGGTGCGGGGTGAGAGAGATTGAATGAGGCTGCTGCTGTGATTCCACATCGTGGTGATTTAAAACAGACCAAACAGCCTTCATGCAGCTTGCTGACAGTGCAGCAGCAGGAAACTGGCGTCACACAATGGACGGGATGCGATAAAAACATCTGCGTTCATACACTTCATCTCGCTACATGGGGGAGAAAGGGGCGCATTGCTCCTGTGGAAGATGAAAAGGGAAAGACTGGGTACCAGTTGATGTGCTAAAGAGGCTTTTAAGACAATTACTATACATTTCACAAACGATATTAGTAATTAGTCACATTTTTGTGAATAGATGCGCAGCCTAAATACCAGGTGAAAGGCTAAAATTACAGTTAAAGTTTGACATGTAGAGTTAGATGATGAGATGGATACTGCACAGAAAAGCTAGAGTCGGTTAATGGTTAGCTTAGCTTAGCATAAAGACTAGAAATAGGGGGAAACAGCTAGCCTGCCTTTATCTTAAGGTAAAAAAATCCACCTACCAGCATCCCCATAGCTCACTAATTATCATGTTATATCTTGTTTGTTTAGTCTTACATAAGGGGATGTGAATGTAAAATCTTCAGGAAGTCACAGCCACAAAATAATCTGCCTCTCTCGCCCAGTGTATGATCAGATAAACTCCAGTATCTTGTGACCACAAACACGATGAGTATGTACAGAAAATAGATGTTTTTTTCTTTTGTTGTTTAAAATGTTGAAATATGTAGTTGTGCAGCATGCAAACTGCTCTACAATTATAGTAGTTAAACGTGCAGGGAAAATTCTTACCAGTTTCAGCCAAATGTTGGTTGTTAAAATCTGATTCTTCTCATCCTGTTAGAAAAACATGATATTCATTAATATTATTAATCTATTTAATAAATTTCCCACATCTAATAATATTATTTAATTTCACGAAGGAGGAATCATGGTATTAAAAAAAAGTAAACGTCCATAACAGCTTCACCTCTCACGGCTGAGGTGATGGAAAAAGTGGTGACAAGCACCAAGACAAGCAAATGTAAAAACCGTATAAACGATGATACTCAAGGAGCTTGTTCTATGTCCCACGTTTCCCGTAGCAGTGAACGCAGAAGATAATGACAATCCCTGTAGTAGCTGATGATTACAGTCACACACGAGCGACTTATCATAACACGGCTTTCTGCAGTGCACACAGTATGCATGCAGGTACTGTATGTGTGGAGAGCCATCGTTTACATACCACATCAATGATCTGCATGAGGCTGAGGCCAAAGTCAACAGTGAGCTTGTTAGAGTCATCGGAGACTGGTCTCACCAGTGGGTTGTAGCCACTCATCAGCTCTTTATACAGTCTGTGCTGGTATACCCCTTGAAGAGAAACTGCAGCGAACAGAAAAACTTGGATAGTAAATATACTTTCATAATTACTTCAGGAAAAAAAAAGAAGAGAAAGACAGACACTGTTGGTCACATCAAATGCCAATTCTTTTTCAGTTTCATTGCCAAAACTTCCATTTATACAGCCATCCTGCAGCGGTTGTCTGTCTTATATAACTGATACGGTTTCTTTTGCAAGCAAGAGCAAAAGCATTTTGTTTGGAATAAACGGATAAAGAGTAAATTACTGTGCAGTGACGAACACAAGTGAACAGACACTGACAGGAATGATGCTCTACCTTCACCAACAGAAAACCTAAAGAGGAGGAAGTCACAGTACTGCACTTTTTGTAATCAAGTGTTATTTTTTGGCATTTATTGGAGAGACAAATTGAACAAACTTGATGTCTGTCTGTTGTTTGCAGCTGAGCAGGTAAGTGTACAATGTATTTCTACAGCTACAGATGAAAGCAGTGAGAGGGATTCAAAACAGAAAAGTTACAGGACAGGAAACCAAAACAATGAGCTGAAAGCTGCTAAAGCGCCCTGTAAATCTGAGAGGAACTTAAATTCTGAAGAGCTGTGTGATAATTTGATGCAAGTTCATCACTACGAGCAACACCTTTCACATAACTAGTCGTGATCTCTTGTCAATAAAAAAAAGACAGTGGTTATAGCTGCTTTAAGTTCAAAGATGAAACTGAGCCATCTTTCCCTCTCATCCTATCTCCCACATCATCCAGTCGTCGCCTGAGTTTCAGTTCTCAAAAATAATCTTGCTTTTTCCTCATTCTTGCAGGTTTCACCGTACATCAGGTGACTCCTTGCTGGGGCACTTCTAAAAACCTTCCTGCAGAGATCTGCTGCGACTGTAAAGTCAGACTCTGCACCAAAATAATTTTGCATCTCATTAAAGGTTGGCATCCAAATACAATACCTGGACTCAATTCATCTCACTGTGCAATCTCAAATCAGATCTGTCCTTCATTTTAACACACTCTCATCTCCCCTTGAGTTATGGAGCGTTTTTGGCAGCATCTCTTCACTTCACTAATGGCTATGGCTCAATTATCCCAAACCACCTATGAGAAGCAACATTATCCCAATGATTTGGCTCGAAGCTTGTTGTTTATAGGCATCGCCCTATTCCTCTGCTCTCTCTGTCACATCCACTTCTTTCATAAAAAAAAGCCAGAAAGATTAGCTGAAAGCATATCTTTGTCCATGGCCCAATCCCATGTGGACGCCCCCATCCCCCCATTCCCAACCCCACCATAATCAAATTTCACTGTGAGGATCAACAAGAGGACATCAGTGTGAGTAACTGTCCTGGGATGTTTCTGCAGTACTTCTCAGCACATTGGACCACTCGAGGAACGTTTCTGATATGTTGCCAACATGTTGCTGAAAGTTAGAAGAGAGCCGTAAAACGGAGAAGAAAAGCCTTTCTACTTCTTAATCAAATTTAACAGCCTTAATAATGTCAGACAGATGGACAAGGGCTTTAAGTAGCCCATAAATTTTCTCCGACCTTAGATGTGCATGTATGTGCACACACTATTACAACTTCCGTCCATCTGCCTCTTTATACATCACTCTTGGGGGAAGCCTCAATTAACAAGTGCCTGTAACAAGTGCCTGAGATTTTAGAATTAGCATGGTTTGCATGCGTCTATAGCACAGGAAGCAGCTGGGGATGTTCATACAATTAGAAACATGTGTTGTAACATAGTGTGAAAGGCACAAGGAGAACATTGACACTTTGGTTGTAACATAAAAACCTTTGTTCAGTTACCCAATTCAGTCAGGGGTCTTTGAATGAAGAACTTGGCATGACCTTTTTGGTGCTTTCTGGAGCTGTCTCTCTTTCTGTTTGTGTCAATCTATCACGCACACACACACACGCACACACGCACACACACACACACACACAGAACATACGCCCCCTATTAATTGCCATGCTGTGATCTGACTGATTAATTCGTCCCAGTATAGAAAAACAACACAAATACAGATTATTGCCGTGTAACTATCTTCACTTCCATTTACAAAAACTGTCTACACTTCAAGCTAATGATGAGAAACCTCACATAGCATCAGTAAAAGCTGCAAGACGTTGCAATGCTGGCAGACAAATCAGTCACACACTACACGCAACACCATGAAAACTATGATGTAATATGTGTTGTAGTCATTGTAGGTCTGAACTAATCACACAGACTTCAGTACTTGAATGATCTTATTATTAGAATTTCTGATTAAACCAGAGCAGAAAACAAAGCCACATAACATTACCCTGCAAAACAAACTCAGAATACATTGCTGTTGTCTCCGATGGCCAATCCGCCCTTGCATAATAAGCAGCTTTAAAGTTGTCCATCTGCCTCTCGACTTCACTCTCGGGGCAGCCTCAATTAACAAGTGCCTATAAAGTGAACGCTGAAGAGCCTGAGTCAGTGATTACCATTAAATTTGCTGCCTCAATCAAAATATTAAAAATTCAGAGCGGATTTGAATAAAACTGATGAGACACAGCATGTCTTGAAGATTTCATGAACTAATTACCATTTACAGATCAGACTTTTTAGAATTTGCATGGTTTGCATGCACCTAGCACAGGAAGCAGCTGGGAATGTCATTTGTACACAGCAGGGGAAATATGTGTTGCCACATAGTGTGAAAAGCACGAGGAGAACAGGGTTACTCTACTTACAACATAAAAAAATACCTTTTTTCAGTTTTCTAATGCAGTGAGTGTCTTTCAATGAAAAACTAAGCATGGCACTGCTGGTGCTTTCAAACTGTTTGTATTACACACACACACACACTTACTTGTACCTCTATCTCTGCCATCACAAGGGTTATTACAACCCTTTTCTGAACCCAGTCTAAACCCTCTAACAGTCCCGAAAACTTTTTACCAGTCCTCACAATGCAGCATTTACATAATAATTACAACATAATACCACTCTCACCACCTGCAAGTTTTGATCTTTACTCATCAAAACATATTTCCACTAATTGCAAAAAAAAGGCAGGAAAGCAAGATAGCTGTACCTTTACAACAAATGGAAAGTCTTGTCAATTACTTTTCTACAGACTTGACCCACATCATTCTTTCCTTTTTAAATACAAAGCTGTGATGACAATATTTTACTTTCTATAAGTTAATATTTAGCATACATTTAGCCTGCTATTGAAATCACTGGTGATTAAGAATAGCATTACAAAACCCCCCAAAACACTAGATTCCTGTGTGAGTTAATTGACGATTAAAGCGCGTGCTGACCGCCTACCTTCCACCGTGCACGCGGTGACTGCAACGAAAAGTAAAACGTGTAGAAAGTCCATGTTGAACCGAGCGCGAAGTGAAGGCAGAGATGCTCTTCAGTTTATTGCTGGACGTAGACGGAGTGCGGGAATAATAGTACTGTCCGTGTGTGTGCGCGTGTGTGAGCGTGTGTGTGTGTGTGTGTGTGTGTGTGTGTGTGTGTGTGTGTGTGTTTAATAACTCCTCCTCCTGTGCTGTTTGCTCGACAGTGAGTAACAGAATCAAAACTCTCTCACTGATTGACTGTGAACCTAAAGATATAAAAACGTTGATTTCTTTTTTGTACACATAAATGAATAAGACCCCTGTAGCCTTAATATTCTCATAGAAATTGAGGGTGCATCAGTCTTTTTGACAAAATGGATTCTCTAAGAGTCCAAATATATGTGCATCCATTGAATCATTTTCCACTTTTCATTTGAATGTCGTTTTTCATAATTAGTTTAAAGACATTATAAGGGATTGCACAGGGATGCTGAAAAGATGTCCAGCATCACACTGTGCTACTATAAATTCACTTTATCAAAAGAAGGTGACATCTGCTGGTTGCTGATAAAATTACAACTACTTTGAAAATGCAGTTAATGCATGGAGTCTTTTTTTCCCCCGTACTGTTTATCAGACTAATTTCACAAGCGCTGCATATGCTTTTGATGTGTGCACATACTCTACTACTTCCTATCCTATCTGCTATATAGTCAGCCGCTCTGACTGTTCTGTGGTTCAACCAGTTGGATGTAATTTTTTGAGGCAGTGAAAGATTCTCATGCACAAACCAGAAACACGAGGGTTTTGTACATTTAAAGTATTGTTTATACGTTTCAGAGGTCTGTGCATTATCCAGAGGAACTATGCCTTTTTCAGATACTATAAATATTTAGGGCCATTGTCCACTCACACAGGTGTTTTCACTTTTTTGTGTGATTAGACCTCAGGACTATGTGTGTGCAAACTGCTTTATTTACATAGTTATTGTTACATTCACTTGTGTGACCTCATGTAATTCACAGCATAGCACTGCCCAGAGGAGATGTCTAATCAGCTGGAGTAAGTGAAAACACCTGTGTTTGGCATGCAGGTCTTGTTACAGTCTCACCTTCAAATAACTGAACTGAATCAGCAGGGAGCCCAAACTTTTGTACATGCCACAATTATTATTATTATTATTAGCTTTTTTAAAGCTCAAAATAACAATGCATTTTTAAAAAAAAAAAACACTTGGTTTTAAATGTCTCTTTGCTGGATAAGTTGTAATTCATTTAACTATAGAAGTCAATAAAATATACAATTTTCCCATGATGCCCAGACATTTGAGTACAACTGTAAACACTAATTGAATTAATCCCTTAAAATATGCTTTTAAAATATATCAGTCCATTACCTGATTATTATTAAGATGTGGAAAAACTCAATAATGATTTCAACACAATCCTCCGCTTTACATAACTTAATGGTAAGGAAAAGTTCTAATAATATTTTTTGTGCCTACAAATCAGAACTCGGGGTTAAGGTAACCCCGAAACACTTGTAACTCCTCTGCCGAAGTTTGATTGGTGGATTAGGCGAACGGGCGGGAACATGGCGGCAAGTAGGAAGTGAAAATGAGTTATGACAGAAAGATGTTTAACCGCTGTAGCTAGTTGAATCCCGTTAACTTTCCATCGTTTAGACCTCGGGACGGTCAGGGAGTACCGTTAGCTAGACGAACGTTAGCTAGACGAACGTTAGCTAACACGGAGCCGAAAAATGCATTCTGTACGGAAACGTCGAGGCAACGCTTCACACAGGACACAACAAATTAGGTTTGTGCGTTTAACACTAGACTGACGTTATTGATACCTTTTAAAGGTAATGGTTTGTTGTCAATGGAGGAAAACAGAGTCGGTTCAGAGACTACAGAAAGAGCTGCATGTGAAAAAAAAATGTTCTGCAACATCTTTTAGCTTCGCCACGACTACGTTATGTTTCAGAAACGAATACTACAGGCGGCGAGGCTTTAGACAAAGTACTTGGTTGGAGTCTCAACTTCTACACCCACGTCATTGTATTTGTTATCAAGTCTTGTAGGTGTCTCTGGTTTGTAAACGGTCTGACTGCCAAAACACTCCAGCGGTAGCATGTGACAGATATAAATAGATGAGATGCTTGTGGAGGTCCGTGTTACCTTCCTCTTGTCTTCAGGCTTCCTTAGCTGCTACCAACTTGGCTCATGTTATCACACGACTGAACTAAACAGTATTGGATGACAGGGAGCGTCAGTGAAGGCATATTAATTCATAATGTAAATAAAAAAAATGCTTAATTTGTTCAACCAACAGCCCAAAGTTAGCCCCTAGTTTTTTATAATATACACGGTGGTCAAAACTTTTAGTACATTTTTCCATTTGCTGTCAATATATGTAGTTTAATATCGCAGTGTACTCTGAAATTAAAGCATAAAACTGGAGATTATAAAAAGTCTATTCATTAACATTTTAATAATATAACTACAGACTTGGTGGATTATTGTAGAAGCCTTTATTGATGATTTAATAACATTTATAAGTGCTAACTTTTGCAAATTGTACAAACCCATTACCCTCTAATAGCTTGCTAAGATTTATAACTGCATGTAAGATGACTTATTAAAAAATGACATTTATAACTGCAGATTTGTTGGGTTGGAAGGGTCTCTCTAACAAATTTAAGTGCAAGCAAAGTGTCAAGCAGGAGGAGGATTTTCAACAACCTGGCAACACAAAATATGTTTTTATTTATGGCTTATAATTAGTCCGTAAAGCAGCAGTGAGCAAATTATTATCCACTACAAAAATACATTAATTACATCTTATAAGGTCTTTGCGGTCTTTATTTTTTGTGTCTTTATTAAAACACATGGATCTGACAAAATGGTGGATGTACAGTAACTAGACACTAAATTGTTTATTCAGTAGTGAGCTGTGAATTGAGATTTCGAACACAGACTAATCATCATTTTGTGTCATCACTGACAGGTGTACAGCCACTCAATGATAATAATGATAATTTTCTCATCTATAAAATGTGGCACATTGCATTGTGGGAAAGCAGAAAAGTACATGTACATGCGAGACATTATTTTTTCCTACCATTGTGGAATTTGTTTGGGAATTATATAATGGATACATTTACATGCTCAGAGCTCGGGCTCTCAAATAAAATGGCAAAGGTGAAATGAAATGCACAAATGGGGAATGATTTTGGACACAGCCAGTGTCACTTAAACTGTAACTGCTGTGGAGTTCTGTCAGTGGCAGTCGCAATAGCAACAGAAAGTTTAGCTGGAACCAGCTGCTGATGGCACAACAGTCCTGCTCTTATAGTTCTTGCACTTGAGTTTTGCAAAAAAATCTGTGAGGCCTTAAATAATGCTGTCTGGATATTTGAATGATAAGAAAGGGTTTTGGGCAGGAGGTTGGAGGAGTTTGACAGCTCTATTAGTAGTCCATATATGTTCTTCTAGTGTTGACAAACAGCCTATGTTCCGTGTGCATGACCTGGCAGGCAGGGCTGAAGTACCCTCAGTGTATTCATCCACAGTCATCCTCATAGTGACTGTTCAGCGGGCAAGAAGAAATTGCTCAGCTGCACACAAGGGACAATAACTTGAATAGGACAGAAGCAAATCCACAGCTGCTGGTGCAATCATTATTTGACAGTGATTTAGCAGAGTGCAGACACAATTTTACACCGTTATTATAATGGCTAATACACAGTGATTTAACCATTAACTTAAAAGTGTATGAAGGGTTTATATATATACACAGTATATATTTAGGGTTTTACTATATTTCTTTACCATATATACATATATATATACACACACACACACACACACTTACACACACACACGTACTATAATTTGGTAAATATGTAAAAGATGGAAAGGGGAAACTTGCACAATATAGTGGGAAAAAACCCTTCATATATATATATTTACTGTATATACACACACATTTCATTTTCCTTATATATACATGCCATCTTTGTAAACACATAACTATTGCTAAGCCAAGGCCTTTGCTACATTCTATGTGAAGGCCATGGCTTAGTACCCTTAAAGTAGACAAATAAAAAGCATTAAGAGCAACCGTGTGCTTTAGCCTGACTTTACTGCTATAGTAAACATCATAGTAAACCTTGCTTTACTACAGTATTCCTAACATGTCTGTTAAATGCTCCATCTCTGTGCCTTGTAAGGGTAGCTTCATTCCAATGACTTACAGCCACTGTAAATGTGTGTTGACAGCTCTCCCAGTGGTTTGAAGGAAAATGTACTACAGAAGAAAAGACAGTGGTTCCACTTTGACCTGTGGTTCTGTCTGACTCTGCAGAACTGGGTACTGGACTTCGGAAGGCCTATTGTCATGGTAAGGATCTTTAGTGCACATTTCACTTGATCTGTACCTCATGCAGTTTTAAATAGCGCAAAGAAAAAGGTGAAATGGATGATTACACCCCATTACGTGGAACAATGAGCATCAATAGTTTAGCTAAGTGGACACAGGGTGTGTAGCTGGTAGGCATCACTAATGCTAATTAGATTGGAATTAATACCATTTTCTTGGTATCATATGCATTAGATCATCCTTCCTCTGGAATGGTTTCCCCTGAACAAGCCCAGTGCTGGAGACTATTTCCACATGGCCTACAATGTCATAACACCTTTCCTAATGCTCAAGGTAAGTCTTAAGAAAACAAAATACTTTGGTGATTACAAAAGAGATGCAAGGAATATTCAGGAAGATAATAAAGCTACTAGTCCATTCAGTACATCCCAACAGTGGCCTTATGTAATCATGCAATTTTATTTTATTTTGGTTTTGGTTTATGATTGGTTAGGTTGCTCACAACCACAAAGACCTGAGGTTTGATCGCTGTAGTCCAACTCATCACAGCACTGACAAGAACTGCATAACATAGAGAAGTGGGTAGAAATCAGGACGAAACATCTGAAGTAAAGCAAGTTAGCTGATAGCTGAATGTTTAGGGCACATACCACATTGGCTCATATGCCCTGAGAAGTGAGTCCCCGGTTTGACTCTCAGCCGGCTGGACCATTTTCTGCACTTTATTCTCCTACACTCTCCCTGAATTTCCTGTCTGACTTTACTGGTTCTATAAAAGAAGGGCATAAAATGACCAAAAAAGAAACGTTTGGAAAAAAAAAGAAGAGGATTGTGATGGATTGTAGATTTATAGCAGGGCTGTGTTTGGAATAAAGGCAGAAATAGGCAGCTAGCTTTAGCAGTTAAAGCCACCGTTGTTTAGCAGAAAGTGACAGTAATGCTACCTATAGAAAATCAGACTTCCAACAAAACAAATCAAGGAAAAAGACGTCACATTATCATCACATCACATTGAAACCCCCTTGACTTCTAGGAATTCGAGCACAAGATCATTGCTGCAGTTAAAGATGTAACCAAAATCATTAAAAAGTATCAATGGATTATTTTTTTAAGACACAGTTGCTATCATATACTGTATATAGAATATGTGTTTGCTGCTCCATTCAGCTGATCGAGCGCAGTCCCAGTGCCCTGCCTCGCTCAACGGTCTACCTCAGCATCATCACTTTTGTCATGGGAGCCAGCATCCACCTGGTGGGAGACTCCATCAACCACCGGCTCATCCTGAGTGGCTACCAGCTCCACCTGTCAGTCAGAGAGAACCCCATCATCAAAGACCTGAAACCTGCTTCACTGGTAAGACTCCATTTTGTTTGAGTGGGGCAAATTTTACTCCATGATGGGCACACTGGGAGTACTGGAATGCATTGAGAAAATTGTCAATGTTTTCTCATGTCAGGTGTCAGTAGTGATAGAAGTACTGGCACCTATACAAATTCTACAGACATTTATTACCTCAAATGTCAAACAACAAAAACGTCTTTGTGTTGCTTGTCATGACTCCAAAGACAGTTCAGTGACTTTAAAAAAAGTGAACTTTCCTTGTTAGCGTGTGACACAAACTGACGACACATCACACAAAACATGTCTGTCTAGTTTGATCCAGCAGAATTTATCCTGCTGTGTGGGAGTGAAGCCTATTTTTCTCTCTGCTAATCCATTGTTATCACATCTTTTGACAGAGATGTGTTTGTCAATGAGCTATTATAGGCTGACGTATGGCAAAGCAGGGGCAGGATAAAAGCAGGACTATTACAAGTATATAGGTTAGCTAATGATTTGGCTTGATTTGGCCCCAAGCTCTGGAGGTTAATGTCTTGTTGTCTTGTTTCTACTGCTTCCTGACCAGTGGAGAAACCATTAGTGACTCTGTGTACATGAGCAAAAGCAAAGCCTTTAGTGAGAAAAACACAATTACACTATTACCCGATTACTCTAAAATAAGCATTTACATTTAGTTGTTAAAAAAATCTGATTTCTCCCTCACTCCCTTCCATAGCTTTGGACCAAGATTGTTGTATTTTAAGTGTGTTAAAACTCGGTTTATCCTGCTGTGAAAAACTTAATTATTTAGATTTATTTCACTAACAGGTTAGTTTTTGTTAGAGTTTGTATTTCATTGTTTTTGATACAAAGATGCACAGTTACCTGAAATTATCTCTTCATCCCACCACACAGCTGCTGCTTATCTTTGTGCAGTGTCCTTATTATGCAACTACACAAAACCCCTGTTAGAAACTGAGTTATGACGATACTGTACCAGACCAAGAAATCAGGTTCCTCCAGCAGGTATCATGCTGTGTATCAGCTGGATTTCTATTAATACCAGAAGAGGATTTGAAATTTCTGGTTTCCAATATATATATATATATATATACTGTAAACCCATAGGCACCATCACAACAGGTATGTAGGGTCATTATTATATGTCCCTTCATTCTGTGGTCATCACTTTATATGTCATTGGTTGACTTATAGCGTACATGTCTGTTAGTTCTGGTTTGTCGGGTCAAGGAATAGTAAGCATCTATCATGCCCCTTTATAGGGGTAATACATTTATTATTGTGTGAAGCTTAGTGATACCTAGATGTATGATCCAAACTCTTTGTTTTGAATACATCAAACTGAACTGTAAGTTAAAATTAAGTTAAAGGTAAACGCTAAATAAGATCAATAAGAAATAAATTAGGTTTCACGGTCAGCTCCAGGGCTGCCACTTGAGAGAATTTTGAGATTAGTCTCAAATCAAAATTCTGAGAAGTGATTACATAGCATTTCTAGTGCAGATGTCGCTGTTTGATGATGAATTAAAGTTGTCAATTCAAACCAACTGTTCAATTATTCAGATATTTGCTTGTTTTTTTTTAAGAGCAAAATTATAGACCCCACCCTTTTTGTTTCTGAAGCTTTAGAACTTAAATAAGTCTGCATGTCTGCAGTGTGTGCATTCATACTGTCTGATTTCACCAGCACTGACAAATGTGGAAAAGCAATAATTATTTGCAGAAGCTCTTGGTAGAGTTGAAATGCTGCACTATGAAATTGCATGAAGAGCTCCTGAAGAGCATTGATTTTAATATAAAATGTTGAAATTAATGGATTAGCCTTCAACTTAGATGATGATTTATGAATGACAAGTTAAAGTATTGTTGTATTATTTAATGTTTTATATTATCACACAGTTAGCTTTTCCCTTTGATTGAATACTGTAGATAAAAACATTTTAGACAGTTTTTTTGAGAAGGAGAAGATATTGAAGAGGAGAATGTGCACAAAGTCAAGAGGATTAGGCAAGTGCTTAAATGTGACTTACATGTCAAAATAGAGGAAAAAGCCAGTAACTTCAAGAATCATTCTGTACATTCTACCTGGGTGTATGGACACATCTGCGTTTGTTATGTTTCTCCACTCATTTAGATTTTTCCCTCTAATTTGCCACCTGTAGATGTGATTCCCACCCAGTTGGCATTATCAAGTGTGAATGGTTTTCGAACAGTAGGTGGCACTGTTGCATAAGACAGAGAGAGCCACAGCGCTCGCCCACTGATGCAGAGTAGAACACTGTGCCATTAAACATACCTGTTAATGTTAAGTTTATTGTAATAATACAACTTTTTGTCCTTTCTTCACAGATCGACTCCTTTGAGCTGCTGTATTATTATGATGAGCAGCTGGGACACTTGATGTGGTACGTGTTTGTGACTTCAGCTCTTTGTTTGAGTCTGAATGATTAATATTGCTGTAGTTGATGTTGTGTCTTTTGAGATCACACAAAGGGAAGAAACCAATTAAAGAGTGTGTGAAGTGTAGATTCAGATAAAACCGTGGAGACCATTAATACTGCAGCCATTATCAGTGCGCTGGAATCTGGGGCTATTATATATCTTTCAATACAAAACAGATTTTACAATGAGAAGACTGATGAGTGGTAACCGGTAAAATGAATCCTACAATGTGCAGGAAAGGAGGGGCAGAGAAACTTTTTCTGACAGTTAAGTTTGTTTTGAAGAAAAAAAAAAATCTGGAAAAAAAGGTGAAATGGAAATTAAATTTTATTACAAGCAGTAAAAGGAAGAGGTGTACCTCTCCCTTGCTTGCTTTTAATTTGCATAGGCCTTGAGTTTTATGGCAATAAATTGGCTCAGTCGACCCTAGCATTATGTTTTCACTCTGGCGATGACAGAATTTCAGTTTGCACTTGATGATACTGCTGTGTGTATGTGGTGATCCTCATGTCGGTGCGTTCTGAATATTGCACCTCTGGAAATAACACACTGAGGTGACAAAAAAATCTAGATACAGTACTATACAGTGGTTTTTATTTCACCCCCTCACAAAGGGGTGCTCTTAGAAATCGAAGATAAACAAACATATCATTGTCATTTGTGTAACTGCCATTTGTTGTTCCTTAGTGTGAAGTTAATATGAGCCAAAGATCGTCTGGTTCTAAAGGATACTGGTGTAAAAGCAGCAGAACTCCATGCATCCAATCTCAGCCTAGCGGAGACTAAGTTTGAGTCAATTTCAGTCCCTGGATTGAAAATGAACTCATCTCTAAGTGTTGCAGTATTTTCAGCACCGGTGTAAGAAGAGAGAGAGAGAGAGGAGTTCTGTAGTTTCTGTGTTCCTGTGCTCTTCATGCTTCGTGCTACTACAGAGAGTATTATTGTTCGTTTAACACGTTCACTTATTAAAAACCATTGTCATTTGATTTTTAAAGAGAAAAGAGTTTGGCATAAGCACGGTTCCTATGGTAACCTTAAGTGTGATACACTAATTTAGAACAGTGGTTTTCTGTTGAGTGAAATTCTGTTTGTGTTTGTGTCCTTATCTGTGATTTGAATTGAAACCTGCCAGTATAGTTAATCATTTGTAAATGTATTTATTAATTAGACCAGTTTCTCATTTACTCATTTGGCCCGGAGGCTTTGTTAAATATATTTGGCTCTGCTGTTGCCCTGCTGGGTTTTACAGATTCTGTTGCAGCTGGCCTTGAGCTGAGAGGAGATGAGACTTTTATTTTGTTTAACCAAACAACTTGTGAAGAATTATGCAGATAAACACATACTGTACCTCTTAAATAAGTTTTGCATCTGCCTTTTACTAAATAATTATTGAATCTCACGGTGTCCACCGTCCACAGTACATTTTATGAGTCCGCCTCTTCTTTTATTTTAGGTATATTCCTTTCTTCATCATTCTGTTCATCTACTTCACCGGCTGCTTCACCGAGGTGGAAGAACAGAAAAAGATGCCTGTTTCTGGTTGGCTGTTGCTGGGACCCAGCGCTCTATACTACTGGTCAGTCACCTTTTCACGTCTTTGAAAAGGTTCTGTGCATTTTCCCCATGAATACATAACATAAGTATTTTTGTTAAAGTTAAAAAAAATAAGTTTGTAGACAAATGCATCAAGCTTTGGTGTAACCTGAATGATTTGAAACTAACAGGACAGTGAAATCTGATGATGGCTTTTAGTAAATTCACAGTTCAGAGATACCTTCCCTGCCCATTATAGAAGATGTGTTTTGTAGTCTCTGTGATGATTTCTGCTTAGTTTTATAAGCAGCAGCAGGAGGTTGATGTGCACAACAACAGTAACAAAACTCAGTGAGTTAAAGAAAAGAGTGAATCTTTGGTATGAATTATTAAATGCATGCTAAAACACTGAAAAGATTTCTCTTGCACTACAGATTGAAGCGATTATAATGGATACTTTAAAATTAGTGCCAAACCATTAACAGTTTTTAGTCAACTGTAACATTCAAATCTGAATGAAAAGCCAGCAAACATTCAGTTTGTTGTGTTTTTTTTAAATGCAAGTTTGGCTCTCTGGTAGGTAAAGAGGAATGAGGTGTTTTATAGACAGAGCCTTTCCTTCTTTTGTCTGTTGTTTGACAGTAAACATAGCGTAGTAATATTATGTGTGCATCGTTATAAAAACACCTTGGGTCACATTGGTCTAACATAATGACAAAAATTAAAGTTTCACAAAACCAATTTAAGTCACCATGTTTATCGGGACAGTTTTACTGTTTGTGGAAATTGTATTTTATACTTAACAAAAAGAGAGAAGAATCAGATGACTGGCATTTCCATCTTTTTTTGGAAAAGCAGTGAGTGAATGTTTTCATTGTAAAACAGATTACTATTATATAATTGAAAGTTTTTGTTTCCCTCTGAGTTCCTCTGACATCTCCTGATATTTCTTTCCTCAAGGTACTTGGTCACTGAAGGACAAATCACTGAACTTTTCCTCCTCACCTTCCTTGCCATGGTTGCCATGGTGATATATCAACAGTGTAAAGGCCTCAGCCCAGACAGCAATGGCCTGTTCCTGTTCTGTAGTTTCAGTGTGACTGTGCTCCTGGTAGCACTGTGGGTAGGCTATCTGTGGAACGACCCTGTGCTACGCAACAAGTACCCCGGACTCATTTATGTGCCAGAACCCTGGTCCTACTACACCCTACATATCAAGAATGACAACTGACTTACACCTGTCCAGGTCTGTGTTGCTTTGTGTTTGAAGAAAAAAACAACTCTCAATGCCTTCACATCAAATGCCACTTATGTTTGTATGACCTGACTGATGTATCACTATTGTTTCTTTCAGCCAAATTTCCAGCTACAGTGGTTGCACTTGGACAACAACAATTGGTGCACATTGTTGATGTGCACCAGCCTCGCTTCAAACACAAGGTTCTGCCGGCATCAGCCATATATTCATAAGGGAATCTCTTCTATTTCTATTTTCTCTATCTAGATCAACTCAAGGTGAATATACAGTGTGTATGGTATATTCTTATAAATTCTTACTTTGCTTACCCTCATCAGTGAATCCAGTCCAGTCAACTACTGACTCCTTTGAGGTTGATCACAAATCAGAAGAAAAAATGTCAGGTTGTTCAATTAGCTGACTCTTCTCCTCCCTGGCCTCCAAGAAAGAAAAGAAGAACAAGATGGCAATCAATCTTGACTGATTAACTTAAAAATACACACATATATATATGTATATATATATATATATATATAGATATTAATTTATGTTATGTAGCACTTGTCAAGTGAGATAAATAAACTAAACAGCTTGAAAATAGTAAAAAAAAGCAATTTATATGAAAAAAACATGTTCTGCAAAAAAGATACAGCAGCCTCTGTATCAATACAAAGCCAAGAAATAAAAAACCAAGATAGAAGAGAATTTTAAAATAGCAAAGTCACCAAGCAGTTTTATGTAAACAGCGCGATCTGTTGGTTATTATCTTTAATTAAAAACAACAATATGAAATGGAGGACTCTTTGAAAGCTATAATTTAATGAAAAAAAAAAAACATTTGCTCAGGTATTTAAAGGTGCTTTAAGCAAGTTTTTGTTATTGCTACATAGCATCTTTAGCTATTTACTTGCCACTATGCTAACTCTTTTTTACTTTTTATATCACTTCTTTTCCCGAAGTTAGCATGTTAACCAGCTAGCCCCAGCCCGTCACTGTAGTGTCCAGTCTGCCCTCCATTTGACATGAGAGGATGAAGTAGCACTGATCAATGGGTGTATTCTAACTTCTTGTCTTGTGAACGAGGGCTGAAGCTAAGTTTGGCAGGTTTTGTTAAGATTTATATTGTCATTCATTTAGACATGAGAGCTGTGAACTGTTTCTACTAGTTTCCGTTTGTTGTTATGGTACTATTTAAGAGTTGTCATTTGATTTATAGCATAGCCCTATTGCCAACATACAATATACTGTTGTTTACTACATTTACTGAGTTTAAGTAACACACAATTTTTAATGTTCACAATGAAATCTATTGTGCAGATGCTTTAACATTACCTGAAGAGATATTTTTAAGATGCAAATCAAAACTCAGTTTTTATGAAAGCAGAATTTAACTGATAAGTTGTTACTTTGCTGATTTTTACATGTTGAGTGAATGTCTTTGCCTTTAGAGTTACTGTTCTTAATGTAAAATTGCCATTGTTAATGTTTTGTACAGTATTGTTCCTTTACATAAGATCAGTTTATTGCTTGGAAAAAACTGTGTAGTTATGGTTTAGTTACTGGTTCCTCACTGGTTTGGTCTGTTTATGTTAATTAAAATGTTAAAATTGACATTCTGCTTGCTCATTATTGGACTCTGAATGTGCTTTAAATCAACTGTCTTTCCATATATAATATATATGAGTAGCAAATAATTGGTCCCTTCGTTTTATTGGAGGAGTGCAAAGGGAAAGGACAATGCAGCACTGTGGATCTGGTATCCGTGTTTCCACAGCAACACGTATTAAATTACGTAGAGGCTTTCAGGTAGTGGACTTTAAACAGAGGTGGAGGGTCAGGTGACGCAGACAACGCTCTTCTTCCTGGAAGGAAGCAAAGGAACTGCAAAAATGGTAAGTGCGAGAAATTCTTTCCATTAACAAGCTTTTTTTTTTCCACATACTTTCTAATGTTAAAGCTATTTCTGTGTACTTACCTGCCATGTAACGCCATACTTCTGTAATGTTGCAGGCGAAATTCTTCACACAAGTTCAAATCAATGGTAAGAGAATTGTACAGCACCACGTTTTCCACGATTTACATCTATTGCTATTAATTACCGATGTTTGAGATGTACTATTTGCTAATGTGTCTTATTCATATGTACAGTTGTTCTTAAATAACCAATACATGGAGAACATTTGGAAACACATAAGGATCAAAGTCTGACCTTGTTCAGTCTTATTAGTTCCTGTGAAGTAATGCCAGTGTATTTAACCTGCTATTGTATGATGGATAAACTATACTGAAAATGTCAGTATTTTTTTTCTATTTCCCTTGCAGAGTTCAAGGAGTGCTTCTCTTTGTATGACAAGAAGCAAAAGGGCAAGATTGATGCCAAAGATGTGATCACAGTTATGCGGTGCCTGGGTACAAGCCCCACGTTTGGTGAAATTGAAAGACATCTGCAAGTTCACAAAATTGGTAAAGTACAACATGCAGTAAATCTTAATGGTGGGCCAGTCAAGGTTGTAAAAGCATGTTAAGACTGACAGTGGTTGAAGTGGTTTGATTATAGATTATTATATTTAGGTTGTTGTAAAAATCTTGGTTCAAGGCATTTAGGAGCCTGTTATTAGATTAAAATTTTAATACTGGTGAAACCTGTTGCTTGTTATTTATATACTGTGGCTCAAAATCACAAATTTGTCTCAGAGGGCTTTACAATGTGTACAACATACAGTATGATACCCTCTATCATTAAACCCTCAAAATAAAGACGGAAAAACTCCACAAAAACCCTTAAATGGAAAAAAAGGGAGCAACCTTAAGAAAAGCAACAAGGAAGCTGTTCCTCTTCCAAAAACATGTTTTCTTTTCTAATTGACAATTCCAGTGTTTCTGTCCCCAATTGGCCCCTACAGTCACTTTTACTGCACAGGTTAAATGTTATGTAATTCTTGCCTGTCAATGTGTAATTTTTCTTTTCATTTGACAACATGAAACACACCTAACCTTTGTGCCACATTCATGTTTAGAAAAGACAGGTGAGCTGGACTTCTCCATGTTCCTGACAATGATGCACAGACAGATACAACAGGAAGACCCCAAGACAGAAATCTTGCAGGCCTTGAGGATGACAGACAAGCAGAAGAGAGGCTACATCCAGGCATCTGAGCTCCGAGCCAAACTCACCATGTTAGGAGAGAAACTCACAGACAAAGAAGGTAAAGTTAAAAGCTGATTCTAACTGTAGAGCAACCTCAAGTGGAAAATCTGCAGAACGTAGGGACTGTTTTTTCACCTTTGACCCTATCAGCAAAAAGACTGGAGGAGGCTGCCAAGTTGACACTGACGGAAAGAAAAACTTATAAAAATTACTTTTTCGGTCAGTGCAATCAATAAAAGGTTATGATATATTGTTCTACATAATCCAAAGGGAGCACATGGATATATGGTTCACAGATACAGTGCAGTCTGTGTGTGTTAGTACAATTTATTTGACCATGTTATATAGCACACTGGATTTGAAATGAAACTATGAGGTTCAAGTGTTGACTTTGTGTCCATGAAATGACAAAAAAAAACTATGTATTTTAGTCCTCTACCGCAGTTGAGTCTGTTCCTTTCACGAGTCACGTCTGCTGTATCTTCCCATGGCACTGTGAGTCCTTTAATGCAAACAATCAAGTGACTCTTACCACAGCAAGTCTGGCTTAGTGTCTTTTGGGAATTACAAGCTGTTTCCACTCAATCCATTACAATTTGCCCGGCCAATTCTTTGCTGTCCTATGACCTGCCTGCATGAAATAGCTCCAGTCAAGAAATAGAATAATTTTCCTGGAGACGGACTTAATTTCTTCCTCAGAATGTTGCCAGGTCGTAGTAAACTGTAGTGGTTTGGTTGTACAGGTCTGAATATTTTGAAAACTTTGCTCAATATTTGTCATACTAAAACTAAAACTGAAGCATGCACTGTTATTTGTAGAGTAAAATGTTTTATGGAGAAAAGTGCAACATTTTGGGGAGAACACTTGAAAATTTATACAATCCTCATGTTTGTACACTGAGCATGAAACTACAGCCAGTAGCCGGATGACTTATCTTGGCATTAAGACTGGAAACAGCAGGACACAGCTGGTCTGGCTCTGCCCAAAAGTAAAGTTATATTGTTTGTTCAATTTGTATAAAAACGGATGTGTCGCTGTTTTCAGGTGGGCGTGGGATTTGTGTGCCAGAGGTCAGGATTAGTTGTCCGGCAACTGGCTGTTTCCCCATTTCCAGTCTTGATGCTAAGCTAAGTTAGCTGGCAGTAGATCCATATTTAGTGTACAGATAATACAGTTCTCATTTAACCTTTGGCAAGAGAGCTGATAAATCTGTTTCCCCAAATGTTTAACGATTCATTTATGCATTTCAGCTCACAAGTTATTGTTTTTTTTTTATATTTACATAAATTTAAGGACGCAGTGGATTAATTGATTGTGTTTTTCTGACATTTTAACATTGCTGACAATAATGAGAGTTCGATGGACGGACTCCTGCAGGGACGCTCAGTTAAATCTCTGGTGATGATTTTGATAGCATTAGTGTTTCTAAGCCCAAATTGAGTCATTCATGCAGTTAAGGGTCTCAAAGCAACAGAGATTTAATTGAAATTGCTGTCAGTGGGTGAGTGCTTTTTGCATAAAACTGTTTATATTTAAAAGACACTCGGCTTCTTCCCTGTGGGGAGACATCTATCATGTTGTTGGATTCCTAAACTACTGAAGCAGATAGTGACACCACTACACTAAAGGAAGAGACAATAGCTCCTGACTATAAACTGTGGTGCAGATGATCTCTCTGTTGCTGTTTGAGCTTTTTTTGTTGAAAGTTGATGTTATGGTTTTTGATGAATTGATTAACATTTTGTAGCTGGTTAAGATAGAACTAACGTTAACTTTTTTATATGCTGTTTTGTAGTCTGATTTATAACAATTCATCAAACTGTATGAAGTGACCTGATATATTTTTATTTAAAATGTTAAGTAGCCACTAATTGAAGCTCTCAAATAAACGTAGTGCAATAAAAAGTATAATATTTCCCTTTTGAAAGCATAAAATCAAAGCACCCAACTAAAGTGTGAGTACCTCAAAACTACACTTAAATACAGGTAAATATGCTGAGATTTGGCTCTCTGGTGGTTTTAAGAAACAAGTTGCTCTTATTAACAAATAATTGAATTCACCAGATTAGAAACACTGATGAGCTTTTTAATAGAGCAGAAATTCCCAATAATAAGATGACTGATTTAACATTTGCTTTTCATTGTGCATATTTTATGGAACGATGACTCCAAGCAAAACAAACACACTCAGTCTGGCTCAGCAGCTTCAGACCAGAGGAGACTATCTAACGCCAAACTGTGTTTTACTGGTGTTTACTTCTGAATAACTGGAAGAGACAATTTTCAGGCAGCACTCCCTCGTCAAGTTCACTTATGAAGCCAATTTCTGTGTTGTTTGTCTAGTGGATGAGCTCTTCAAAGAGGCAAATGTGAAGTCGAACGGGACTATCAACTATGAGGACTTCACCCAGATGGTGACGCTGCCACCTGTTGATTACTGATTCTTCAAGGAAAAAAACCACGGCCATGGATGGGAATTGACTTTACATACTGACTGCAGTACGTAACTAAATCTACATGTTGACAAGACCAGTTCTGTTCTGGCAGACTTTTGAGACTGAAAACTTCACTTTGTTTTTTTCCTCATGATTATTCACTGATTATTTTATTAAAAGCGGAATCTGTTTCCTCCAACTCTTTCCATCAGTTTCATCTATGACTGAACCCATTGTGAAGCACTCCTATAACCAACACTGTGATATGGTTTAGCGTGTTATTCTTTGATAGGATCAAAACCATTGAATCCTTAGTTCACCTTTTCTCAAGCCTGACCTTCAACCGAACCAAATTAGTTTGAACATCCAGTCTGATAGTTTGTATGTGTACTTCTGATGTAGTTTTTGTTCATGTGGCAATGTCAACTTTCCACACATCAGTATTACATTAGCTTCTCTTCTTAAGCTATCCGTTTCAACAAGTTTTATTTAGTAGTGTTAAGCACAGTATATAAATATCCATAGGCAATATAACATATCACTGATTAATAAATGCATAACATTTTCTCCAAAACACGTAATTGTTGTATGGCTTAGTAACAGGTCATTAAAATGAAGTTTACAGTGGGATTTTGTTAAGAGATTGTAGTTAGCCAACTGACTGCCCTGAAAAATGTGTTTAATAGTTACTGTGACTGCGACATTATGTCATTTCTGTTGGAGAAATACTGTACATATCATATATACTACAGGCAGGTAAGCATCATACTAGCCACTCTTGGCTAGAGTCTTCATTTTGTGCTTGGAAACCAACATCACCACCAAATGTACAAAGATGAATATTTAAAAACAGAAAAAGAACAGAAACTTCACCAAACTAAACTGAGTAAAAGAAAAAATATGCTCTTAGTTGCAGTGAAAGGCTTCTACAATCCATGCAGTCAGACATCAGCTGTGTTTCACTGTGGGAATATGTTCGTAAATGAAATGTGAATACATCAAAATACCTCAAAACATAACTGACCCTTTGTTATACCCTCGATTGTCCAATCAGTTTAGCAATTATACCTTGGCACAGCAGGTGCGTCCCGCTTTGAAGCCTTCTAAATTATCTCTAAATAAAACGGGTGTGTATGCAGGACGAGTGAAAAACAAAAACAAAACAAACTCAAAAACAAGAACACACAAGAGATATTTAGTCCTAGCAGGAAAAGCACAGCTGTAATGAACATTAAGAATGTCTCCGTTCCACTTCAGTGTGCTGAAGTGTCTGCTCCAAGGTAAACATTCGTGTGCTTGACTAACTCCCTTTACTATCACAACTGAATGGGTAGAATAACATTAACTACAACATTTTGTGGGTTACAAGTTACATTAAATAGCCCATATGCCACTATGTCAAAGGTTAGTGATTTTGTTTTGCTCTTTATGGAGAGGTTTACCTGAGATACATCTGCTAAACTCATCTGTCCCTCACTCATGAAACCTGTTATTTTGTAAAAGTGAAGGATATTGTCTTCTACATGGATCTATATGATGAGGATGCAGACTTCTGCTTGACATTTTAGCCTCAGCCTCTCTTATATGGTGCAGAGTTATCATGGCATCATGTAGCTTAACCCCTACTCAAACATTAAGGGAAAAACCGTAATGTTATCTTGTACCCATTATCCAGCAGCAGGCTTCAAAAGTATTAACATGGTGTTACTGATGTCTGCTTTTTGCCTTGAAAGAGGAAATGTTTGCCCAGGGCAAAACCAATGTTTAAATCCAACATTTCCACAGACTCATCTCCACTATTCCTCTTTGCTGATTTGTATCTTATCTTTCTGAGCAGACAGAACCATGAAAATGTTTTTTTAAGACACAACCTGCTGCTGGATAACAGATAAAAAGTTAATGTTACTCAAATCAAATCTGTCTGACCATGAGGACCTGTTTTTGGAAAAAATTTGAATTTTGATTTGAATTTGAAATACACCTGCCACAATTTTCCCTGTAGACTCCATATGTGCCACACCTGAATTAAAAGCCTGACGGCAGTAACCAAAGAGGAAGAGGCTAATTGCATCAACTGAATCCTGAGCACATTTCCAAATGGATGTCATTTTGAGATAGCAAACTGAACAAGGCAGCATGTGAACATTGCTCAAATTGCTTATTCCCAGTATCACATGTAAACTTAAAAGAAAAATTCACTTTAAAAACACATCAGTGTAAAAAAAAACAAAAAAACACTTTTTTTTTCTGCCAAATAATAGCTCTTTACACATATACATAATGTATGTAGACAAGGTATTTATAATTTACTTTTAATACACATTAAAGGTAAATTACAACTCTGTATTATCAAATAATAGTATGACTTCTAACTGTGTGAGATGTAACAACACTCCAACAGTAATTTGCTTCCTGTTGCTTGGGTATACAGTTGCCTGAGGACATAATGTACGTTAGTTCAACAAAGAGGTTTTGCAATGTCTCTGTTCTCCAACACCTTCAACAAATACCTTATATCTACAGAACCGCAACTCCAGAGGCCTGTTAACGTTCCATTCTTCCAGCAAAGAAATGTTATTTAAAGCTGCAGCGCTGTTTCAACAGCTGTATTCATGGGACGATTTGACCTCTGTGCACCTTATCTCAATGTTTAATATTTTACAGAAACACATGGATTTTTTTTTCTCTTTTTCTTTAAAATAAAAGAGTTTTTTGTTCAATAAAGCAGAAAAGCTTTTCTACAGAGATTCCTTTTTTTTTCTTTTTTCTTTTTTTACATTAAGCATTAAACAACATAAAGAAATACAGGAGATTATGATGGCACTGCTGCTGCCTGGGCTGGACTGCATTGATATGTCTGAGCTGCTTTTCAATACCTGCTGAAAAGACTTAAAGAATTTCAGGCTACATACAGTATGTATCAGTGCTAACAACGACTGTCAATGCAGGAATGAGCACAAAAGATGAAAGAGTTAAGTGTGAGGGATTCAGTTCGTCCATAACAAGAAAAAATAACAGTAACTAAAACCCACATGTTAAATTATAAAATATTGCATATACCTAATTCCTTAATTAAACTTAACAAACCTAATGTGACACTGATAGTCCATTTTGAAAACTTTCACAAATGCTTCAAAAATATTTATTCCGAAAAGCTGAATTTGACTCGTATTTCAATCAAGTGGTTAATAAAAATAATGACATCAAATTATCCAATATTCAAGTAGATGAGGCACTGGGCCTGCCAATACCTGACCCAAAAATGTCCGGAGCCTATGTGGCTTCTAGCACCAAGTATTTCCTGCAGCTCCACTTTTTACATTTACATTTTACTTTGTGACTTAAAAAAAATATGCGTGTGGTAAAGCCTAAATATGACATTACACAACTGTTACCGATACAACTGCTTCAAAAAGGCTTTTTACAAGCTGCTGTGGACATTAAACGTTTTAACTGACCGTTTGTTAGCCCCGCCCTCCCCATACCTAATATTGTCTACGTCTAGCATTAGCATCAGAGTTTAGGCTAACACCGACCGAACCGATTTCTTGATTTCTTCGAACACATCGGTTACCCCCAAAGCATATTCTCTTGTAACATTAAAAGTAAAAACATACAGTTGGAAAATAAAAATCCAAACATAAAGCATGAATCCAACCTGCTAATATTCAATGCTACGGTTAACAAGTTCTACTCTCCAATACCAGATCATGACTCAGTGAGGATGACTGACATTATCCCTGGGACATGTAGCTTTAGCGTCAGTCTTTCAGCACAATGTCATGTTTATGAGGCGCTCGTCTTCTCAGTTTGTGGAAATAGCATTAGCTTACCTAGCAAGCTACAGGTGATGAAGTTTGCCAGTGACAATTGGCGACAACTCATTCCAGTTAAAAGATGAGAACAGATGAAACAGCGTTTTTGTCTGCTTCTGTGTGAAATTTCAAAAACTGGTAAATCTACCACAAATGATTGTAAACTGCATATGTGCCACGCAAGATTGAAAAGCATATCGTAGCAACAGTAACTAAGGGGGCAGGGCTTAGTAAACGGTCAGTTGTTTATCAATGCCACATGAAGCATTTTTATGCACCACTTCTTTTTTTAGCTTCGTAACACTTGTACCACATTATAATGTACATAAATCCACACTGCGAATTTTATACCTGCACCAAACAGTTCAGTGTCTGTTTCAATCTATACAGTTTCTGTTGCAGATCAGTAAAATGAAAGCACTGTACCAACCATAGAGTTTGGTTTGTCTACATGTGTAATAATGCATTACTATGTTGGCTACGATAATAGAAGACTCCTCTATTTTATGTAGCTCCGTATGTGTTACAAGGACGTATTGACTCATAAAATATCATTCTGCTCAGACTGCATACTAAAAAACAAAGTGCAAACAAATGTTTACATTCTCATTGTTTAGCTATAAGAGGGGCTGTGCTTTGTTATAGTTCAAATTACTTTCAGCCCTATGTAACAATTTCACCAGCACAAATATTGAGAGTTTTGGAGTGGGACTAATTCATCATTAGTCTGTAGTGGTGAAAAAAAAAATCAGGTAAAGGCTCAGATTGTTGACTTTGCATGATGATTGATATTTCATCAGTCAGTGGTGCAGTCAGTGTTCCTGCTGATGAGGCATGTGAGTGGTTACTTTGTTGCATGTCAGCGGCCAGACGTGCTGCTGGGGCGCTGGCTGCAGGTTTTGCAGCACTGCGCTCGCACATTTGGCAGATGGCAACGGCCGAGCAGGCGGAGAGTCTGGCAGAAACGAAATGTCAGGCGGTCACGAAGACAAACGGCTCCTGAGAGAGAGAGAGAGAGAGAGAGAGAGAGAGAGAGAGAGAGAGAAAGAGGATACATACAGAAGTGAAATACAGATTCAGCTCATGCGTGATTGACTGTTACACCATGAATCATAGCCATCATGTGTGGGTTGTGAGTCTCTGAACATCTTGAGATTTGCCTTTTACACTGAAATCAATGACAGATGTGAGAAACGTCACAAATGCAGCTCAGGCTCCTTTGTCATTAATTCATAACAGATCATATTTGAACATCTGTCTCTGACTTTTTATTCTGTATTGTTTTGTGCAGTGTATTAAAATTACTGAAAATATATTTAGATTTAAATATTTAAATATATATATTTACAAGGCAGGCTTATATTTTTGAGTATATCTTAAAACAAAGGATAATATGCCCAAATGAACAATGAAACTATTTTTGGTCACTGTAATTGATCCCCATGTCCCCATGAAGAGGAACCCTCCTAATGTGTAAGAAATGTCAGACCAAATCTACAGTCCTTGTTCTGTGCCGAACTCTTTTAAATGGTAAATGGACTGCACTTACATAACGATTTTCTAGTCTTACTGACCACTCAAAGCCTTTCACACTATAGGCCACATTCACCCATTCACACACACACACACTCACCCACTGATGGAACAGCCATCAGGCGACTTGTGGCCTGGAGGAGCCAGTTTTTTAGACTTTAAAGCTAATATAAGGCGTCAGCAGTTTGAGTTAGTGGGTAGTTTCTAAGGTTACAGACGTTTTTGAAGGGATGCTCCCATCTGATATGCCTCTTTGGTATTGGCACTAGCGCTGACCTTACCAAGGTCTTACCAAGGTCAGTGCTCGTACTAAAACTACAAAAATTGAAGGACAAACAAACAGAGAGAGATTTTCTCAATACAGGATGAGAGAAGTGCTGAGGTATCATGATCAGGTGAGGCCAATCCCCACTCTTTAGTACAAAATTTGATTGTGTCATCTTCCCTCCACTGCAGCCCAGTGTGAAATTAACTGAAGCTTCGTACAAGGTTAATTCAGCTTAACACCTCTTACATTGGCAGTGCATGCAAAAAATGTGAAACTATCCTTTAGATTGCAATTAGCATCCAAATCTAACCCGCATATCAATGTTCCTGCAGAGAATGGTTGGCATAAATAAAGCATGAATTTCATATCCTGCTCTATTCTTCAGTTTTGGGGCTTTCAGCAGTGAATCTGCTCAAAGGCAGATAATCAATACCACAAGAACAGATATTCCTCTCCTGCAGAAGTGGACCTCCCTGCGTTTTCTGTTCCACTCTTCATGTGAACAGTTACCATGGGGGTTTACAAAGGGCTTATAGTGTGATCCAATGTATTTCGAAAAAGTAGCTGCCGGGCTTTCTGGCACTTTCCAACAAAGGTACAATGAATGAACGACAAACAGAAAACGGCATTTGTTGGTGTGCACAGGTTTGTTTGTGTCCATCAAGCTTGCAAACACTTTGCCTACTTTGGGGTTGAAATCCCAGCAGAAGAATGAAATTATTAATCTTATTGAATAATTACACTTCATCATCAGACACTCACTGTTTCATAGATGAGATTTTTTTGTTGTTGCTGTATTCAGCTCAATGTCTTCTTGTTTAAGAGCAGCTAAGTGGGCAGGAATCAGAGGCCCTTTGGGAATTAAGTTAGTTTTACCACCTGTCTTTAATTCCACATAAGCACCGTGGTAGAAAAAAAAAAAAAAGAGAAAAAACAACCCACACTTTCCTGCTGGAATCTCAGTTCAGGTGAATAATGTGTCGAAGAGGCGTAAGCAACAGCTGATGGCTCTAGCAGACACTTAATGTATTGTGTGTCAGTCATGAACCCACTGAAAAGCGAAATGTTACGTGCTTTTCAGTGCCAGTGACAGCTATTCACTTTAGGAGAGAAACGTTTCACAGTCTGCACATGAACTGTGACATTATGATTATCATATTAGATTAGTAAAATGCTTTTGTATGTAAATCAGGGGCTGTGCTGCTGTGGGGGACTGCAGTCAGCAGAAGGCTGATGTTAAAAGCAAACAGTGTTTTAGAAGAGAGACTAAAAAAAACAAAAGGGAAACAAAGTGCTTGATTAATGTAATTTTAAAAAACAAAAACAAAATAATATCTGACATGACCTTAGTCATCTTGAAAACAAAACACTATCCTGTTCATCCATCTGCAAGAACAAAATACAGCCTTTAAAATGTGGGAAAATCAATACCACTGAAAATTTTAAAAGTGGCAGTTGCTTTGACAACACAGTGGAAATGCCATTACAACAATCTTGAAAAAAAAAAAGAAAAAAAAAAAGAAGACTGCCAGATTAGTAGTGACGTCGTCCGTATCAATTTTTCAAGAAAGCGTTCAGCACCTACTGTAACAGTCTTGTCATTGTACAATGAAACAGTGCAGGTGACAGTTCTATTTGCAAGGCAGTCATTAATAAGAAGCCACATGCAGCTGGCTGTACATCTATGTTTTTAAATTGCTCACAAGCTGCAGATGCTTGTGGCAAAAAAACAGCAAAAAATGTGAGTATGTTGTGGAGTTTAAGTGCTCAACCAATTTACATTTCATGAATTTTGTAATATCTTGCAAATATCTGCCTATACATTATGAGCTGTCACCTAAATCACAATCTGTCCATTTGTCTAATGTTTTTTTTTTTTTTTTTGTGGGATATATATGGTACAAACTGACAATGTAACCTGAGGGTGGTGCTAGAGAAAAGAGTCATCAAAATCATGAGGATTCATCCTCTGAGAACCATGATCATTCACATTGCTTCATTTCTAGCAATTACTTAAAACATATCTTTTCAAGGAGCAAAGTGTTGGACAAATGTCGTCTCACGGTGGCTCTAGAAGCAAAGTAAGGATGTCCTCAAAATGATTAGCCGTTATATTCAGGGGATGCATTCTGTGCTACTGACCCCACTGCTCTTGCATGAAGCAATTCTCAAAACACCAGTGTGCAGAATTCCCAGTGTCTCCCAGATCAGAAACGCTGAACTGACATAAGTGGAGTGCAAAGGTCACAGCTGCAACTCAATACATGCCACTTCCTGTGTGCTACTCATCTGCTATACGCCCCTATTTGCTTTCTTTGACCCACTCACCAGCATGCCCCATATAGAACAGTAAACAACAGAGGGGGACAGAGGGACATGGGACTTCCGCAGCTCATAAGCTTTTCTTTCACTGTTGGAGGAAAACAGAAAAATCCATTCATGTCTCTTCAGCCCCACTTCACCCTATGTATCAGTGTCGTCAGTGGACGCAGCTTCGCATTGTTTCCTAGGAAAATCATCTCACGGTCAAAGGGTTAATTACAGCGTCATAATTGAACAAGCCAGGGAATGAATGAACTGAATAAAGAGAGGAAGTCAAGAGTGAAGGGCTATTGAATGACCTACAGTACACCTATGGAATGGAAATGTACAACTTGCAGAAGCCTAAAAGATGTAATCTTTTTATAGCCAGTGTAGAAAAAAAAAGCCACCAAGCGCAGGATTTATATGTGACAGTGAAATAATAAATGGAAATTCTCTAGGCAAAAATTAAAAGATAGGTAATGAAACATGTTTATTGACCCGTCACTGCACATCATTATTACTGCTGAACTGTAAATCATGAACCTATTGTGCGCTGCCACTTACTGATGAGTATAAATATATGTGTTTAAGTTACTTTAACCTGCAATAACAGATACGGTTAGGGAGCAACATTATCTATTCATTTGGAGTCATGATTCTGTTCACCTGACGAATGCGTCTCATCTATTTACGCTCCTTTAGTTCTGTTGATCTCTATGAACCCGAGGCAAATATCTGGCCCTTTAGCTACTAAATGCTCCACTGTCTGTAACAATGCCTGTCTGCTGTTTGGTGCTGAGCATGTTGTTGCAGGACAGCTAAACCATGAGCTGAGACTCGAACTGCAGATTCGGGGTGAAAATACACTGTAGTTTCATCACCACGAGCGATTTCACACCGTCATATTGTCATTTCATATATTATAATACATATATTGATTACAGCTGCTTTAAAGTGTCAGGCTCGGATCTCTCAGGTCTGGTGAAGGAGCTGGAAATGCTGCAGTTATATCACTAGCTTTTGAAGTTTAATATTTCTTGTAGTTCACTGGGCAGCTGCTGGATAGGAGCTTAGCCTTTTGTTCTCGTCTCCAAAATCCTCTATGGGTGAATGGTGTAAAATTACATTAAATATTTGTCCCTGCAGAGGGGCAGGTGGGCTGGTAAACTGCAGATGAAAAGGAAGGTGAGTCCACGTCACCTCACTTTCCTGACCTTTGAAGCTTTCTGTCGTCATTACTCCAAATCACTGTTGGCATGTTATTGTTAGATTACTGATTGCCCAGTAATCTTGACTCAGCATCTTTAAATTTGCTGCTTTTCAAGATGGAAAAAAAAAGAAAAACATTGAATACCTCCCCCATCGTTATTTCTTGGGGTGTGGAGAGGACTCTGAAACATACCACTGCCTTGAAATGAAAAATTATAATTACAGATTCACACACACATTCTTTGTTTGAAATATGATCTAAATGGCCGACAAAAGTGTCACTACTCCGGCTGTACTTTTTGTCTAGTCCATGTGGCCTGAGCACTTTCACGTAGATAACACAATAAACATCATCACTAATTACAGAGAATTTAACCTCTGTGGTTACTTAGTACTTGAAAAATTTAATTGATTAAAGATTTTGAAAACTTTTTTAGTGCCTTACCAGAGAGAACCTATAGTCAATTCAGTTATAACTGTACAAATACCCTGCCTGGGTGTATGTACATTATTAATATATTAACTTTGTTTGTGCCTAAATTAAGGACAGTTCAAATCCAGCGGTGTTTGTGGCCAAACAGTATACAGATATGTATTTCCCAGATGTGTTTTAAAGAAAATAATCCCAGCTGAGTTTTTAGAGCTTTGACACACTACATATATTATACTGTATTGATATTTTTAG